CACCAACAAGTTTTTTTTCTTTCGTTCATTCAAAAACCAAATAAATTCACGATTTCAATCAAGTTTTGAAAACTCATAGTCATTCCTACTATCCTCAAAATGAGAAGAATATTATTTTCCATCTAAAAAAATTACGGGAAAAAAATTCCAGATTTATGTTATTGCTTGGCAGAAAATTGCACGACATTTTTTAAAATTTAAACCGTTAAAAATGTAAATGCGTAAAAAAATATTCTGTGAGTTAAATTTTATTAAATAACAGGGATAAGAAGTAAAAATATATTGTATTTAGCATCATAATTTGTCATCTTAAACATTATATCATGATGAACATAATTTAAATATCATAAACTTAAAAACTTACCTTAGAATTTTTAACGGTAAAAATTTCAAAATCATCATGCAATTTTCTGTATGGAATAATTTTCATGCAATAATCTGGTCGCGGAATAATTTATTCGTGGAAAAAAATATTCTTCTCCTCAAAATGTTTAAATATTTCGAAGTTGGAATTATTTTTATGTTGATAACAAATTATTTGACAAAATTAATTGACGTTACAATGTGTAAAAATATTTCTTAATTTTATTTCTTTTCTCAAATCGAAATTTTGAGTTAAAAATTGTTTTTCTTGTACAATAATGACGAAGCAGTTCCGTTCTATAAACTCGCATACGGTTGGTGTAAAGTTACGATCATTTCATTCGATGTGTAAATAATAAATGTTTCTGAAGAAGAATTAAAAATAGACAACACATAACATTTTTAATAATAAATAACCTTTGATCTGACTTTGTTTTTTTATTTGTTATTTAGTAATTTAGAATCAACAACCGCGTTCCACATTAGTTTGATAGATTAATTTATTTCAGATGTGATAATGACTTCAAATATTCTTCTTATCAATGTTGAAATAATTTCTGAACTCGAATGATTGTTTTAGTTTATTTTATTTACTCTTGACTGGCTCTTAATAGCCCTAAAGAAAGTCAAATCTCAATCACATCGAAATAAAAAGTCTATAAACTCTAGTCAAAAATTGTAACATAAATCATAAGAAAATAGTAACAACACATAACTGACATCAGTGAAGCAGAATAAAATTTAATATTTCATTATCTAACAGACAGAATTTAGTTTTCAATCTAGAAAAAATTTTGGCTTCATGTTTAACTTTAAAATAATTTTACAATTAAAATCTTATTTCATGACGCAAGTCGCGGAATGACGGGTAATTGGTGAATTAGTTGAGGTCTTATAAAATCCCCAAATGTACATAAAACGAAACATATGAGAAGGAAAAGATTGGGTAAACCAGTGACCTTCAATTTATTCGATTTATATCTTGCTTTTAAAGTTTTTAAGTGAACGAAGAGAAAAGAGGCAAAATTCGCAGACATGCTTCATTGCTAATGATGGTTCATTGGATTTGAAAGTGGCGGAAAACTTGAATAATCTGAAACATCTAAAGTCCGAAAACTATTTAAATTATTTGTAGTTAGAAAACTTTCAATTCTTCTCAATTGACATGAGAAAATCTGAAACTTCGCAATTTGTAGTGTCGATACATGACCACAATGATCATTAATTGTTGCATAATTCTTGTGTCTGTATGGTTGCTTTGTACGAAACTACAGACAGTGGCTCATCATTGGCTTTAAATAAAGAAAAATAACAATATACACACTTAATGGGTTTTTTCGTAAAATTAAGATGCGGTATTGAAGGTTACAGAAAAAATGTGAGAAGAGGTCGAAGAATTGTGAACGTTGACACTTTTCTTAATCTTCTTTTTAGAATAATCAAAAGCTACATGTAAGTCTTAATGTTTTTCATCTTAATCTTTTTCAGTCTATTTATTACACAATTTGTGGGTGGCCAGAGAAAGATCTAAACAATGAGCTTTGTGTAATAACAGGTGGTGGCGGTGGACTTGGAAGACTTCTGGCAAGACGATTAATCCGATTAGGAGTTAAAGTCATCCTTTGGGATATCAATCAAGATGGTGAGTCTGCTTTTTATTAAAATATTTGAATATTGAACGTGCTTTGACTTCTGCAAACATTGAAAAGTCATTATTAGATTGTCTGCTTTGTTAGCAAACATTTTGTTTCCATATACAAGTGAACTAATAAATTTTATAGTCATTGCATGTTATTAAATGGTTTTTCAGAGCTTAACCTTCAGAAGTTCGCAATGTTTCTCGCAAATCAATTAACCTGTGCGTAAAGCGTTGCATTAATGAAAACTTGATTTCAATCTTTCTTTCTTCAGGACTCGACGAGTCTCTTCAGATGTTGGAGTCGTTGGGCGGTTGGTGCAGAACGCAAAAGGTTGACATATCACGGAGAGAGGAAGTTTACAAAGCTGCTGAAGAGATTAAAAACAACTTTGGCGATGTAAGTAATTGCGTTGCCATGATTTTATCGAAGTTATCCACTATCAAGTGTTTCTTAATTTCCCATTGCTCATTATTTTCATACTTACATCCACACGTTAACTTTTTACATCGTTCTACATAAGTACTTACGATGTTGAAATCAAGTGCAAGATAAATGCTGAATATTTCAAAAGCAGAAATGTTTGTAAATTAAATTTTTCAAGGCCGTTTTGTCTTTGATGTAAAATATAATCTGTGGAATTTAATTATTATTTATTGTTTCGTGAAGCTTAAACATTCTTTCTTATAAAAAATGTTTTTAGGATTTTTGAAGAAATATTTAAAAAAACAATTTTTTGCTGTGGTTATCCAATTTTTCTCTTTCTCTTGTAATATGAGCGTTGAGTGTTAAAAGAAATTTTGCAACCACACCAGCGTCACTGACCTTCACGAAACAATAAATAAGTATTAAAAAATGAAACTTTTTTTTAGTTCAAGCACATGAAGTCATACATATGAACCCAACAACGAGGTTCGATAGCATTAAAACGCATTAAATATTCACAGCAATTACATTGAATATTATTTATTGACGAATTCAATTTAAGGTTTTGTTAAGTTTATATTCAGTTCCCTTTAATTAGTCACTTGATTCGCTATGAATAAAAATTTTATTCCTTCACAACTTTAAAGTTATTTGACATAAAAGCAATTGTCTGCCGTTGATGATTTAGGAAAATTTTCACAATTTATGATTTTCTCTTTGAAAAATGTCAAGGTCAATGTTATTCAAATACATCCAACAATTAATCACAAGCAGCATTTTTCAGCTGTACAATTCAACATAAGATCTCGTTTTAAATATACAAATGTTATGTCAATAAATTATTAGATGAATCTCTTATAATTTGTATAATTGAAGGCGGTTTTTGTGTTAAACAATGTAAAATTCAGCTTGTGCAGAAGCTTTTTTGTTATTTCTCTTATTTATTCAATGTTGACTTTGCAATGGATTGTCTATCAGTCTTCGCAAATGAACATTGATTACCTCAAATATTTACCATTTAACATTCATCATCAACTAGGTCACGATGTTGTTTAACAATGCTGGGGTGGTATCTGGTCGCGCTTTACTTGACACGCCAGATCATCTTATAGAACGTTCGTTCAGCGTCAATGCACTTGCTCACTTTTGGACGGTATGATTACTTGCAATTTGAAATGCTTTGAAATTTAATTTATTTCCGACATTCATCAGGTGAAAGCTTTCCTTCCAACGATGTTGGAGAAAGATCACGGCCACATCGTGTCAATTGCTTCAATGGCTGGATATGTTGGCATTCCAAAGCTTATTGATTATTGTTCTAGCAAATTTGCCGTTGTTGGTTTTGACGAAGCTTTGAGGCTCGAGTTAGAGATGCTTGGTGCAGATGGTGTTCATACGACAGTCATTTGTCCATATTTCATTCAAGCAACTGGAATGTTCGAAGATGTTAACTCTAGGTCAGTGTAAATATTTCTTATTTTACTTGCTTTGTCTATAAATTTGCTTCTTATAAGTAGATGGGTGAATACTTTAAACTCTGAAAATGTTGCTGATCGTATAATTGATGCAGTGCGTAAAAACGAGAAATTCACTTTGATTCCTTGGTACTTTAGCGTTTTATTGGCAGTAAAATGGTAAATGTTTTACCTTTCTCTTATCACAAACGAATGTTTTTATTTATCTTCATTCAAGGATTGTACCGTGGGGTTGCACATCTGGTTTTCTTCGTCGACTTGTTCCAGATGCAACGCCGCAACATCATTTAGCTCAAGGCTCACCTTCCATTACGAAACAAGAAGAGATGCATTCAAAGAACATTCACATCAACAATAATAATAACAACAACAATAATATCAATAACAAGTCGTTGCTGATTCAACGAATTTCAGCTAGTACACTTGGAGAGAGAGTCCTCTAAAACTTGTAATAAGCATTCATCGGTTAATGTATAAGATTTGTGTAATGTTCAATGAAAGAAGCTTTCATTTGCATTCTGGTAATCGTATCAAATCGTGATTATAGTTTTTTAAGTTATTTCGAGGTTTCAAATTACCTTCTTAATTTTTGGGGCTGAAAAACATAAATATTAAAATATTTCATTTATTTTGTATTGAAAATAAATTGATAAGACCGAAAATTATTGAAAACATTGCGATTTTTCTTTATTCAGACTTTAATTCATTTTCAGGGTAAAATTTCAGCTCATCATCGATTAATGATCATTTTATTTGATAATTCTGTAAGTAAACATGCGTTCAAAAATTTTTTTTATTAGCTAATTAGACTTTTAATAATCCTGAAAGTTATTATTGACATATGCAAATAATTTAGAAAATAATTTTCTGATGTAACATTTTTAATCAAGCTTAGTCATCGTGACAAGCCAGCACTTGGAATTTTTTTTTCTTACTACATTTAATTTCTGTAACAGTTAAATTAACGGTTTAATAAATTTATAATTTATTTAAAGTAATTTACAGAATTTAATACATTTTATTAATCTTTGAATTTATGTAACAAAGTTTCTTCTTGAACTTTTCAGTTGCTTTCGACAACGGCATCTTTACCAGCATCTAAAATTATTTATTTTTCATTCTTGTAAATAAGTTGTATGATTGTAAAGACCTGATCATTGAATGAACAAGAGAATGAAATGTAAACGAAATCACTACTCAGAGAGTCTCATTGGGCTTGCTGATTCAAGCAAGGGGCAGATCATGGTAGTGCTTCTGCCCGCTGCCTCCAAGTGATGCTTCGAAAATCACTAGTGCTTTTCAAGAAAAATGGCCTTTTTCCAAGAATTTGTTTACTTTTTCTTGGAATTTGTCTAGTGCTTCAATGCAGCAATAGTGCTTTTGCCCTCCAATTTTTTCCGATGATCTGCCCCTTGGATTCAAGTGCTGATCGTTGAGAGCGACAAATTTGAGGAGAATATACTGCGATTGACGGCAAGACTGCGAGAAGTTCTCTTTTGAAAATGTTTCGCTTTTATTTCTACGTTTACATTTCTCCAGAACTTTATTCCATTCTCAAGAAATTTCTTTGCCAACAGACAAAACTCAGTCGGATTTTAGATTAAAAAGTCATAGCAGTCAAACATGTGAGAAGTCGAACTTCGCTGTGAAATTATGAGATTCTTTTATTTATTTAATTAAATTTGGAGAGTTATTCATTTCAGTTAAGAACAGTCACATTTCATATCCGGTGTTTATTGTTTAGTTCATCAAAGAAAAATGAATTCTAAAATTATTTTGTTAGGATTTTTAATATCATTCGGATCAGTTCTTGGTGAGAAAAAATTTACTTCAACAAAGTTGCTTATCTGTCACTTCACATGATAACTTTTTGACTTTCTCATCCATGAATTAAAAATTACAGTCTATCACGAAACTTTTCAAGTTCAATTTGAAGTAAAATATGTGCATGATGATTTGTAAAAATAATATTATTATTCAATTCAGACGTGAAAGAAGAAAAAGTATAAAAATGGTTGAGAGAAACTGTTAAAGTATTGAAGAAAAGAGTAAATTGAAGAACCTTCGGTGTCAATGCCCACAAGAATTTTCGTATATTTGTTGTATTTGATCACAGCTGATCGTTCCACTCTTTTTGTTTTCAAAAGTTGTGATTTTAGTTTTTTATTTATCATTTTTCTTTTTGAATAGTTGCTGATGGGTTTGAAATTGGAAGAGAGGAAAAATTTTCTTTTATCAATGATGTTTCATTGTACAGTCAGAGAACATCTGAACAACCTCTCAATTATCGTATTTCCGCTTCGATTAAAATTGGTAGTGTTTGGGCCAATCAAGAGGATGAAAATCTTCTGAGATTTGTGGTAATTAAAATGTCAAAATTAATTTTTATTAGCAACAGCAATATTAATAAATTGATTTTGTAGATTTATTCACCAGAGTTACATTTAGAGAAGTCGAAAGATGGTCGGATTGATTACGATGAAAAAGCCTCGAGCCTTAAATCACTTCACAAGAAAACATTTTATGCTCTTCGGAGTCATGGAATTATTGAAAAAGTTTTTCTACCACAAACCAAAGATTCTTCACTTGATAACTTTCTGAGATCAATTGTGAGCTTATTTCAATATCAATTGATGGACATAGACTCAACACAAGAAGACGACATTTCTGGTACATGTCAAGTGCGTTACGTTTCTAAATCTTCGACCAAATATATGAAACATAAAAGTGATTGTTGGAATGATTTTGAGATTCGTGAAAGATTGGAAAAGCCTCTTGGAGTCAGCAATAGACTGACACGAGTCGGTGTTATCACAGTCTCAGCTGATGGACATTTGGAGTCAATACACAGCACAGATCATCATAAATTCTCAGTGAATGCATATCCAAATGTTGGCTTTGTCGTTGGCTCTCTTTCTTTTCTTAAATCTGATGGTGAATTTAATGAATGTAATATTCTGAAAGAGAAACATTTCAATGAAACTTTGAAGCATCTTGGAGACGTAGAAGAGACGACTTTGTTGCCAACAAAACCTGATCTACATGAAACAGAAAACATGAGCGTAAGTAATCATTAATCACGTTGTTCAGTATTATTTTCATCTCGTTTTTAGCTTGTGAAATTGGTTAAAGAAAATAAGAAGAATCTGATAAAAGAGAACGTTGGAAAGAGTATTTCAGCTCAAACGTTGCTTCAACTTGTTTCGAATGGAAGAAAGACCAAAACTGATGATTTTATAAGAATTTTAAATGCAAGATCGACACAAGAAATTAGAGGGCAGTTGATGGATCTACTAGGAGCTGTTCAAACAGAAGAATCTCACGAAGCATTCAGCAAAACTTTTAATCTCTCGAGTTCAGAAGATTTCAACGACATTGAAAGATATTTGCAATCTTTAGCAGTTGGAATTCGTCCTGAAGAGTCAGTTATTCGAGATTTGTTGGTGACATTAAAGGTAGACGAGATTGAAAGCGAAAAACTTAAAGACACTTTAGTTCAAACAGTTTCTTCAATGGCACAAAAGTTTTCACAAACACCCCAACAAGATTATGAAAGTCACGTTGTAGTTGATGTAAAGAATTTCTTGATGAAATCGATCAACAAATGTTCTGACAACAATTGCAAAGTGATTTATATTCGAGGATTACAAAATCTTCAATCACCAGATACTGTTGACAAGTTAATTAATATGGCATTGAATTATCCTAATCAAATATCAGTTGCAGCAATGAAAGCACTGAGGAAATTCAAAACTGAATATTTATCGTTGGAACATCAAATGAAACTCAAAAAAATTTTCTTTCAAAGATTTAAGAAATTTGATTCAAGTGCAAGAACTTTGGCTTTAGATATTTTATTAGAATTAAAACATGATCTGAATGATTTACTTGAGTTGATTGCTTATTTGAAATCGAACGATTCAGCTTACGAAATAAAGCAGTACATGGTGCAAAAGCTTCGAATGAAGTCTGAAAATTGTCCCAGATTTAATGAAATATTGAAAATTGTTTTGTCAAGAGAGCCTCAAATCAACAATTGGAATGTTTTCGGTGGTCTGAAAGGTTTATCGACAGCACTCATTCGACAATTTTCTCAGCAGCCTTCATTCAATGGTTCACTGTTAAGCGTTCAAGAAATAAAAGGTGGCGTCTTGAAGCGTGGAAATTTTGATTTGCTGATGAGAACAACCGACGAAGAAATAAGTTTATTCTCATTAGGAATTTTTGCTAGTGGACTTTCATCTTTCATAAGCAGTTCTGGTGAAGAAGAAACTGATGGTGACGAAGAAGAGACGGCAACAGCAGGAATGGAATTAGCAATTCAAGGCGCTCAAATGAGACCGTTGACATTCTTCACCGGACAAGGAGAACTGATGGGTCACGTTTGGTCTGGAACTGCTTCGCAACCGACAACAGCTTATCAAGGCACGACAATTTTGCAAGACCACCAACAAATTATTTCCTTAAATAACGGAGCTTTCATCGATTTCTCAGCTCTTGGAGCTATTTCAATAGATTTGAATGGAAAGTTTGAGATTAGTTTGTGGTACAAAAATGCCAACTCGGAAGTTGTTCAAAGGTCAGTTAAAACTTTTATTTCAGAAGAATTAAATTTAATTATTTTTTGTTTTCTTTTCAGTACCGGAGTAGCTTTATCAACGAGCTTAAATGTAAAATCTTCAATGATTTCTACGAGCATTAATTTAGAAGTGGATGAAGAACCACAAATAAATCTTTCATCAAAAGTTGACTTTTCATCAAAGACAGCAATTTGTATTCAACTGAGTCAACAAAATTCACAAGTCATTCAAACCATCAAACAATCAATTCAAATTCCAAAGGAGAAGTCTTCAAATGTTTTCAAAAAGCACACAATTTATCGATTTAAGATTCCTTCATATTCTCACGTGATAAATCGAAAGAATACTGAAATGTGCAACCAACTCAATTAAATAAAATATTTAAATCTTTTTATTGAATGAAATGTTGAACAAATAAAATTTTATACGCAAATCACCAAACTTCATAATCAATTTTCCTTTACTACTTGAGGTTTATAATCAAGTTTGCTGGCTTCTGAAAACTTTTCACCATAAAGTGATAAACGTTGAGTCATTCGGAATCCCCATTTATCCTTAATTTGACGACAAAGATTCAAATCGATCTGACATATCAACAAACCATCTTTATTCCGAGATAATCCTGGTGATCTCGAACCGTCGGGTGCAGCAACATATGATGAGCCATAAAAAGGTCCAAAATCTTTATGTGCCGGTTTTCCATCTCCAGATGAGAATTCGTTGGGAAATGTTTCAGTACCCACACGATTGATCTAAATATAATTAAAAAACTTGATATTGGTTTTAATTTAATCATTTTGTAAAGAAATACCGCAACAGTGAAATAAGAGTTTGCAATAGCTGCATTTCGAGCTTCAATTCCCCAAAGTGGTTCTGACAAAGCTCCAATCTATAATTAAATGAACCAGAGTTATAATTCTTACTATTTTTAAATTTATTAATGAAAGACTACAGTAGCTGAAGGGTTGAAAACAATTTCTGCACCATTAAGCCCGAACATCATCCAATCTATCGAATTGAAATCAAATCAATGCATTGAATTTAGAAAAAATTTAATTGTTAATTACTTTGAGGGTGATGTCGTCCATAGCAAATATTTATTGCAATCTTTCCAAATTGTGTATCATAAACTGGATGACCAGTATTCCCTTCCATATAGTAAGTTGATTCATTAAAGTCACCAACACGCGGAATATGATTCTTACGATGTTTTCCCATTACTTTTCCTGAATTGCTGATCACAACCACGGTATTCCAGAGTTGATCACTGTGATCTTCATCGCGTTCCAATATCGAAGATAATATTATCATGTTATATTTAATTGCACGCTTTAAAAATATTTAATGACTTCATCAAGATTATCATAAAAAATTTAATTAATTCACTTCTTTTAAAAATAAAGTTGTCGGTCCATTTTCAACACTTTCTGCAAATTGACACCAAGGATGTTTCTCTGAAATTAATATTTTTAATATGACTTATTAAATATCTCGCAAAATGCAACTCACCTCGAGTACAGAATGCAAACGGCATTGCTAAGAATTTATTATAAATAAAAATCACTGAAATATTAAAATATAAAAAGGCAATCTTACGCCAAGCTTCTTGTAAACACAAGATATTGACACCATCGGCACCTGCAGCATCAATAATGTTTCCAATTTTTTGATGTATTGCATCTCTCTGCTTGGAAATTGGTTCAGATGTTGATGCGACGATAGAATTTTGGATTGCCCCGATTTTGACAATCCTGGGCGAACGTGAATCTTCTGATAATGCGTCGAATTGATAAGATTTAACTTCAAATTTATTTTTTTCAGCGATTTTCTTCGCTGTTTCGCAGATTGGAATGGCGTTGCTGTAAATAAACACTTTGAATATTTTCCTACGGAATTTCAATATATAAATTTATACATACTCGTCTGATCGACCATATAAAATTCTTTTAACTTCCTTCAACTCATTGGGAGGAATATGCTTGACCAAGCAATCTTCTAAACTGCTGATATCAAAATTTTCAGACATTATTCAATGTTGTTCGAACCAGGTTTCGTTTAACACTACGAAAACGATTTCTCCGACAGCCTAACCCAATCTATGTGTACAAGTATATTTTCCTACTCTAAAAATAAAACTTTATTGCTTTGAAAAAGATTATTTAGTTATCTCCGAGAAATGTGGAGAAAACCTGTTGTCGAGAGAAAAAGTTTTTCAGTTTTAAACATTTTGTCGCTAAATTGCTAGATATTTTTGTCCAGTGCTCGAACTTAGTGAAGAATTTAATTGATATTTATAAAAACTGCATACAAGTATGCTGAGAACTGCATAAGTGAAAGTTGATTACATAAATAACAAGAACACGAGAATTGGTTCAAATAAGTTCATGTCAATGACAACATTCATGAAATGTTTATATGAACTACATTTACAAATTAAGAATTATATAAGAGGATGATATTTATCATAATCATTGATAAGCCCACATAAACATAAATATTTTCAGAGATATCTTGTTTGAACCGTTTGTTTCATATGTAACGGCTCAATGACTAAACTGTGACGGTTCAAACTTATGAAAACATTGATCGGGCAACACAAACTAAAAAAATATCAAAGTTGAAAAAAGTTAAATTTGTTAATAAACTGTATTAAAACATAGTTAAAACTACTCAAAACATATTTTAAAACCTCAACTATATGGGAAGAAAGAAGAAAAAGGTAAATTTACATCAAATTTCGTATTTTCCACGCTTTTATTATGAAAATTACATGCTTGAAAATTTTATTTTTCAAATCCATAAGCAATGTTCTTTTCTCGACTAAAAAATGTTTAAAAATGCTTTTTCTTTCTTATTTTAGGCACAAAAGCCATGGTGTTGGTAAGTTTTAGCATACATGAGGATTAAATAAATATTTGACCTTATGATGCAATAGCATTTGAGATGAGGAATTTCCCTGTGTTTGCAATAAACCAGAGCAATCCTGTCAGTGTTACAATAACTTAATATTTGCTCTTCTAAATGTTTTTACAGGTATTGTAATCGTGAATTTGATGATGAGAAGATTTTAGTTCAACATCAGAAAGCAAAACATTTCAAATGTCATATTTGTCACAAAAAGGTGAAATTCTTTAAATATTTGCAAACGTATTTGGCATTAAAAGTATTGAAAAAATCATATATTTTAGCTTTATACTGCTCCAGGACTATCAATTCATTGTATGCAAGTTCATAAAGAGGCAGTTGACAAAGTTCCAAACTCCCTTCCAAATCGTAGCAATATTGAAATTGAAATTTATGGAATGGAGGGAATACCAGCACAAGACTTAAAAGATCATGAAAAACAGAAAAATGGAAACAAATCAGAGTCAGATGATGATGAGCCTTCTACAAAGAAATTAAAGATTGAACCGACAGTAGCAGGTGCAGCAGCCGCTTTACCTTCACAAATGATGATGCCAAACATGGTTCATCCAAATATGGCTCAGTTTCCAATGATGATGCAACGTGAGTAAAAAAATTAAGAAACTCCTCGATGTTGTTAACAAATAAATTAATAACATTTCTAGCTGGTTTTCCGATGATGTCTGGAATTCCCATGATGGGGCAAATACCTCATATGATTGGCCACAGGCCGCTATTTCCTTCAGCAGTGGCAACATCTGCTGCACAACAAAAACCTACCTTCCCTGCGTACAGTAATGCCACAATTAGTGCACCTCCAACTGTTCAAACATCTACCACAAGCACTCATGTAAGCGACACACAAAAGCCTCCAACAATTCCTCAAACATCTGGAACCGCGACAAAAATTATTCATCCTCCCGAAGACATAAGTTTAGAAGAAATGAGAGCCAGAAAATCGCAATATAAAACTTACAAAGTATCAGCTTCATCACCTCATTCATCATTGTCAAACACATCTACGAGCAATAATTCAAACAATAATAAATACAATGAATCGAAGATGGTGCAGGCTGCACAAGAGGTGAGTTTAATTAATTATGTTTTTTTATTTATTGTTTAAAAGAGGAAAGAAAATATTTTTGCTTGTGCCCGACCAAATAAGTATGTGTGAAAACTTTTCATGATAGCATTTCATAATATTTGCAATTTCTGTTATCATGTAAATTCTGTCATATGACGCTGAATGTTTCACTGAGTTTTTTTCTTTAAATGTGCACATGAGAAATTTAATTAGTCTTTCTTTGGTTGTCTTAATTTGTTTATTTTGTTGTATGAAATGCCTGTTTACAGAATTCTCATGAAAGTTGCAACGAAGAAGATTTTCTTTAACTTCAACTTTGTAGATTTGATTTGATTTGATTTAACGTAGATAAATTATTAGATAAAGAATTTGTATTAAGTTCTCTTCTCCGTTGCAGCTTCATTCAAAAAATTCCTCAAATAACCTTCCAATGGTTTGTTTTTTCTTTCACAGTAAATTGAAATCTTAATTAACATTAATTTTCTTCTTCTCACTTGACCAATATCTCTTAAATATATTTTACAATTATCTACATATCTTTGATCGTTAATAAATTTATAGCATGCCGCTGTTTTGGCACAAGCCAATCAACAAAAGCAATTTGAAGAAATTAATCGTGCTGCAATTTTAAGTAGAATACAAGCTGCTCGTCCTGTTCAGCAGATGGGAATGGTTAGTTTACTTTATCATTGATTGATGTGTTTCTATTATATTGAGTTTTGGTTTCAATGTTTATGTGAAATCAAGTCTCAATATTCTATTCATTTTTTCAGATTCTATCTCATTGTTGAAGATATTTTTTTCAAGGCAAAGACAGGAACTTTACTACTTACTTAGTTGTTGCTTTCTAGTAAATTTTTGTAATTTGTAATTGGTGAAAGATTAGGAATTTGTTTTTGTGAAGATCCATAAAGTATCTATCTAAATTAAGGTTGTAGCTGAATATATTTGCTTATAAAATATAAAACAGAAAAGAAGAAGTGGGAAGTAAATATTTACACAGTTTGAGATTGAATTTGTTTCATTTTTTGAATTTTTTTCATTTTACATTCACATTTTTTCTATTATTTTTATTTTTTAGATTCCTGGGCTAAGAGGACAACTTCTTCTTCCTCATATGATGCAACAAGCACATCCAATGATGCCTCAAGCTTTACTTGGACAACAAATGATGCGACAGCAGATTGCACTTCCACCAGGTGAGTTGAGATAATTCAACGAGACATTTTAAGAATATTATTTGTATCTTTTTTTTTGTAACTTTATCGTGGCGAAATTTTCTGTTTATATCTAATAGAAAACCGTTTAAAAGTATCTACGCCATTTTCCTAGAGGCGCTAAGTAGAAATCTCAGATAAAACCTTTGGAATTTACAATCGCAAACATTTATAGAATTGTTCTTGATTCCCATGAAATTTGTAAATTCCAAACGTTTTTTCAAGGTATTTTCCTTTAAACGTTAACTTTTCTCATCATTTATCCAAGATAAAAAGTATGCAAACTTAATCATTTACTTAATTTTAATATCGATGCAGTTTTGCTCTCAAACTTTCATCAATGAAAAATTTAATTAAATAACTTAAACCTCTTGATGATCAGTGATTTGGGAGAAAATTTGTTTTGTTGTTATTTGAAGTTAAGAAAAATTGAAATCGTTTCAAATATCTACGAAAACTTTTTCTTACTTTCGCGATATTTGTGATGATCTGATGTTAATGTTTTTCATTGTAAGATATTTTTTCAATTTGTTAAAACTTTTATTTTCCATTCTTCAATGTCTTGTGCGGAAAACATTAATATTTGATTGTCTTTATAGTTTAATTGCTTGTTACTCCCGCATAACTATACTTACTGCTTGCATATCTTTTTTATTCTTCTTGTGGAAGTTATAAATTATAACTTTCTTTAAATACCACTCGCAGCACTTTTAGATTAGACGAGTTACTAATAAAAATGACACATACAAAATATTGCATGAAACACAAACAATTTCAATGATAAGTAAAAGCAAACAAACGAAAAATTCAGAATAATATTTTTATTATTCTACATTCATGTTGAATCTTAAATCGACAGCTTGTAATCTCATTTAAATTTTTTATTTTGTACTTTTTTTCCCTCCAAACAATCTTGTTTTTATTTTGTTTTTAGTTAACGCGGTGAGTATTTTAGAATTTGTAAAATATTTGCCTAACAACAAATGAAAAGCTGATTGCGTGAAATTCACAGAAGATTAATATTTTTTTGTATCGTCAAGCTTAAATAATATCTCTGTTTCAATTAGTGCTTCAGAAAATCCACTTAGAAGCTTATATTGAGTTGGTTATGGAATTTACTTATGTATCAATGTTTTTTTCTGTTCTTTATTATAAATATTTATATCATGAGTTTTAAATGTCCATTTGGCGATTGAAATTATTATGAATGGTAGTCGTAGGTTTATCTGAAATAAAGTAGAAAATTCGGGTAAATGGTGATTAAATAAGCCAAAAGATCTTTTATTTTCAAAATCTTTTTTTATCTTTATTCGCGATGATAAAGTGTGTGACTTCAAATCGAACGCAATTAAAAATATTATAATGTAAAAAAAGTTGAACAAAAGGTAAACATCCAGGAAAGTTTTATTACATTTAAATCACTTATCAATGGTATATGGGTCAATATTTAATGTTTAAGCAGCAAGTTTTTTTTTTGTTTTTGTGTATAAATATTTATTAAGTTGTTTACTTAATGTAGACAGTTGACTAATTTACATTCTGTGATTTGAACGCTCATGATGAGAGTAACGAGAATGTATAGAGCGATTAGTGTCTACTAGTTTGAGATGGAAATTCAATCTTTTTGTTCGTTACTCTTGGATCAAGAGTTAAATAACATTTTTATCTAGAAACTTTAAGAACTGCTTAAGTTTTCTTCTCTTGTTTTTAAATTTTCTTTTCTCATACAATGCATTTTTATTAGTTTTCTTTTTGTGTTTGAAATAAACTTTTTAAAGCTTTCAAAGTGTATCGCTAAGGAATCTCCTATCGCTGTTAACTTTAACTTTACTTTGTCTTCGAAGAAATATTTGTAATGTTTTTGCAATTTGTATTTTCCTTTATCTTTCATAAGTTTTTTTAAATTATTAAAAATTGTGATACTAATAATTAATGACCAACAACAACATCGCTAATTAACGTTTCCATTGATCTTTTCATTCATTTTCTAGAGAGTTAAAAGTTTCCTTAGTTTATTCGACAGGTATAAACTAAGCAATTCTCTTCATGATTTTCATAGACTCTAAGATTTAAAGATAAGATTTGGAATGCTCATTTATATCACATCCATGAATTAAAACATTATTGCTTAAAAATGATTAAAATAAATATTTTTAAGCGATGAGTTCAAATCATATTTGAAAACAAAGTTTGGCTTTATCAAAAGGTTTCAAAAATGCACGTTAGATATTTAAGATTCTTTTCACATAATTTCAAATATGATTCAATCAAGCATCCTTATGTTTTTATTACTTTTACTTATGGCGAATTTCATATTGTCAACAAGAAATTTTATTGGTGATTTATGAACTCGTTTAGAGCTCTTTCACTTTTAATAAATTTTGTTTCCGTTTTCTACTTTAAACTTTAATTTGTTGTTCTATTTTTTTCTTCACTCTTTCTTCATATTTCAAAAATAGGTTTCATTGGACAAGTTCCGGGTGGAATTCAAATGATGCCAGGAGTGATGCCACCACAAATGCAGATGATGTTTCCTGCTACAAATCCAATGCTCTCGATGATGCCTCCACGTTTCCGGTGATTCAATCTTCCATCATGCATTGTACCATCGCCTTTCGATCTACCCGTAATTAAAAACCAAATGAATTTTTTCTTTTAATAATTGTATTGCAATGAGAAAACTAGAAAAGTAGATTTTCGAGGCGGTTTCGAAATGTCTCCATTACTCCACAGATAGCGCTAAATGTTTACCGATCTCCATAAATGAAATTTTAAAGAAATTTTCTCGTCACATGCAAAAGTAAAGTACGTATCAGATAGATTAAAGTGGGAAACAAGATATTAGACAATTTAAAAATTATTTCATTAAATTTTCTTCCACGGAAAACTGAATTATTGTGATTTTATTATTTGCCAGATTTTCCAAGTTTTTTAATTTTCTTTCTCAATTCTGGATATGTTGTTGTAAAAATATTGATCTTGCGACAACTCATAAACATCTTTTACTTACATCTATTTACTTCCTCGCCACAAAAAGTATATCTATAATCACGACATTAATAACTTTTTAAAGAATGCTTTTTAAATAATTTTCCTTTGCGATTTCTCATCATAAACTTTAACTTAATTCAAATCAAAAATGATTAAAAATATTTCATATTATAGAAGGATTTTAACTAGCTTTACCATCTTTAACTGTTTTCACATGTTCGTCATTGAGAATTTCTCGGTCCATGTCCCTTTCTAATAATAAAATGGCAAATTCACAAAAGTATTCTCGAATAATAATCTTCAATTCATTTTTCATTCGACTTATAAACGTTTCAATTATAGATTTGGTGAAAATTCTACTTAATATCGACATTTCTTGCACTTAATTAATTTTACTACACACAGTAGAATTGACTCAAAAAGCAATGTCGAATCTGATTTTATTGTGGCTTATTTTTTAATTCTTTTGTCCATCTTGTCTTGATAACAAATTAAATTAATTCGAAAAGGAGAAATGTCACGTTTAAAGCAAATAGTATGCGACGTAATATTATATAAACCGTTTTTAACTCGATCGTATTAAAATGTACGAGAAATTATATAAATAGAAAATTATGTATATCTGAATATGTATTAAGAAAGTTTCCTTGCTGTATTTAGTTGACATCCTTAATAGTTTGCACTTCTCTTAAATATGCTGGCTAAAGTTGAAAATTCTTTTCTTTTTTTATAGAATGTTTTCTTTTGTAATATACATAAATATTTAGTACAGGGACAAATATTTTAATTATAAGTAACGAAGGAAATCGACAGAGTTTAAGACAGGTGATCATAAATGCAACATAACAAAGAATTGACATTCTTGCAGAAATTGTTTTGCATCTTACATCGCAAATCAAAATTAAGTCGAAAACTTTTGCATATTTTATGCCCAGATTTTAAAAAATGCTTTTTGGAATAAAATGCCTTCAAATGTTTGAATTTAAATGGAGATGGGTGATAAATTTTTTTATCTTGCAATTGAATTTATTTCTTCTCATAATCTACTTAATTAACAACATTACTTATTGATAAGATCACAAAATGATTCTCATATTTCTATGATCACTTCAATTATCTAATTGAAAATGCAATGATGTCAATTATGACTGTTCGCAATTGTGGTCGCAAAATTAATGTTGGATTAAAATTATTTTAGGCAAAGGGTTTAACAGATGCAAGATTATTGAAAAACTTTTTTTTTGACAATTTTAATCCCTTGTTGTAGTTGAAGCGATAAGCATCAGCACAACAGGCGACAAATTATGTGGAATGCTTCTGATAGTTGATAAAGTGCATGTTAAAAGCAGCTATGTATTTATCTTTCATGATTAATATTCTTTATATTATTTAGTGAGAGGACATTCCATCGCACAAAAATTTGTCACATTAATTTTGTTGAGTGAATCGATCCCTTGTCGATTCTGGCAAGTGATGGCGAAAGTGCTATCACAGCGTAGTTTTTCATGAAAGTTTATCGTACGATTGAAATCTTGATGAACTTGCATGAGAAACGGAGAAGTTGTTGATGTCGGTTCACTTCCTGTCAATAATATCAAATTCTGCTACAGATTTTAAAGCAGAACCGTCTTTTTAACTGATTGTTTTACAATCTTTGGTTTAATATGGTTTCTTATAAATTTGGAGTGAAACTTATTTTCTCATTATTCTTATACGACGCAACGAAGCAGATAAGTAATCAATTTTCTTTTATCTCTAATTGTTTATAAGTATAAATTCTATGACTAATGATACACAAAAAAAAGAACTTATAGGATTTATGTATCGTACATAGACTTGCCGCATAAATTATTAACGGAAAGCAAAACCTTGTAAATTCAATTTCTTAATAAAGCAAGTTTATAGAACATAAAAAATAATCTGAATTTTATGAAAATCATTCTCAACGGAAAATTCCTTTTCAGGCTTCTCAATGTCTCTTTGTATAGAAGTTTTTTTGTCTGATCGTTAACCTTAACCGCGTTATTATTGCGTCGCACAAAAGGGGAAATTTCGCCGTGACATGAGAAGATGACTAGCATTATGATTATTCATCAAAGTTATGCTAAAATGTTCCGACTTCTGATTGTTCACCAGCAGCTGCTCGACTTCCCATAGCAAACATCCTTTCCACGTTCTTCCTTCCTAGAATTATTATCGCAACAATGATTAACGATTTTGCATAACGTGTTAAACGGGATTTGCTTTTTCTTTCAGAAGTGCAGACTTTAAGTTTCATTTGATGAGTAATAAATACGAAGAAAACAATTTGAGAACTTCTTGAACTTATGTGAAATGAAAAGAGATTATTATGTGGTAAAAAAACATCTCAAGGTTGAATGAAACGGACAAAAAATGATTCCATGAAAACGATTTAACGATAAGAAAATATTAATTTCTTCATTTTCAGACAGTGGATAATTTTGAAACTTTATTAGACAAATATGCAGATAATTCATTCTCATGATTAAGTTGCTTGACATTAACTAAGGAATTCCGATATTCACTCGATTCTGAACATTACTTTGCCAAGGTTTTCTGGTTATATTTTCCTCAAACCATGTTTTAAATTAAAAGTTGAAATTTTCTAATCCAAATCTCTGCAATGAATGTTTAATTAATGTTTGTGGTCTGGTTCCAATATTTCTTTTGCCAGCAAGAAGAATATTAAAATGCATTTTGAAATTCTAATGAATTATGGATAAATGAAGATTATAACCTTCAGTTTCATCATTTCTCCAAATGTGAGAAACATTTGCGCGCTGAGTTAAATATTTACAGTGAATGGAAAAATCTAACGACCGATGAATAAAATGCCCAAGAAAACATCAACATTCCAGTTCATCGCGCTTGTATTCGTGTTAAGTCAACACCAACTTTAACCAAAAGAACAAAGCAAATGAGAATTGAAAAGAAGAAAAAAAATCTCTCATACAATCTATCAACGAATTATTCAGCAACATTATATTTATTAACTTAATATTGTGAGTCAACGGGCTGAGATTAGATGTTAGTTTGCCATTTTTTCAGTTAATCTTGTTGGTAGTTGTGTCTCGTGTTTGTTCCTCTCTCTCTCCACTTTGCTTTCTATTTCCAGTTAACGACGAAACCGTCTGCATTATATTTCAGTCGTCGTCGAATCGCCAACAGAATTACAAATTGCAGAAAGATTGGTGTCTGATAAATATTTTGAAGCTTGCCTCATAAAGTGATATCATAGAATTGTTTCATAAATATCTTAATTAAATATTCAAAGATGAAAAATTTCATCAATAAATATCGCGATTGAACAATTGACAATTATAATTTTCAAAGCAGCAACAAAGTGAAGTTGTAAAAGTATTAAATTAAAAAAGACTTCGAATGAACCAAAGACAAATACTCGTTGGCCTTCCTTCTTGAATGAAAAAGCAAAAATCTATATACATTGGTATAGTTAAACGTAATTATTTTCATAAGATTTGCTGAAGTGAATTCAAAGTGACAACCTAGATTGAATGTGCATAAGCATGTGGATTTTATTAGCGCTATTCGCGATGGACGTTGTTGCCAACGACAACTTACGCGTCGCTTATCAATGGAAGCAAATTGACTTCGAATATCCAAACATTGGCGAGCGTCAAGCGGCAATAACAAACTCAACATTTATTTCGGAGAATGTGGTTCCAGTTGGATTGGAAGTTTATAAGAATCGATTGTTCATCACGCTACCGCGATGGAAGAAGGGCGTCCCAGCATCTCTCGCATACATCGACTTAAACGGTATTTTATTTCATTTCAAAAAAGCAAAAATGTGTTTGCAACATAACTCGCAACAAATATTTACACGAAATCATACAATATTCCTTTTCTTCACTCGACAATTCATCGTCTCACACTTTATTCAAACGTTTCTTTGATATTTTTTATAACTTTCGCTTTCTTTTGTTGAGATTCTTTTTCACGTCGTCGGTCAGTTATTATTTACCAGTTTGTTAGTTTATTTCATTATTACTTATCGTCATAGACATAAAATTACTTTTTTTTCTTCTCGCAATCTTGGATATGTTACTGAAATTGAAATCGACAACTTTCCTGCTTAATAAACTTTTTCAATGTTCAAAAATATCCTTCAAATTCTTCTAATTAATTTTTTTTCTTCTGGGAATTTTTGATCGCGATCGGAAGTATTTTTCGTAAACTCTGACAATGAAATGTTTATTAAAGTAAAAGTATTCAAATTGATTTTTTTTTCCATTCGAACTGTGTAAAAAACAGTCTCAATGTCAATAACATCGATGCTGGTCTACTTTTATAAACTAAACTGAAACCTTGACCCTCATCAAATGGTTTAACTAGAAAATTTACCGATATTTGGTTTCGGTTAAGAAATTAACTTCCGATAATTCTTTTAACTTGAAGTGAACTTTAATATCAAATTCTTGTTTTTAGATAATTTTACGCAATCACCAGCTTTGAAACCTTATCCTAGTTGGTCAGCCCATCGAGTTACAAATGATGAAGTCCCAGAAATAATTTCACCGTTTCGTGTCAGGGCCGACAATTGTGGTCGACTTTGGGTTTTGGATACAGGCGTTGAAAACATAGCAAATGAAGCGAATGCAACAGTTTTATCACCAACTCGGCTTCTCATTTACGATCTTCACAATGATAATCTTTTGAGAAGCTACAAATTCCCAGACGATCATATAAAAGATTCTTCGTTCTTTGTAAGTATTGCAGTGGAAGATGAAAATTGTGACGACAGCTACGCGTACAGTGCCGACTTAGGAAAACCTGGTTTGGTTATTTATTCATGGAAATCGCAATCTTCATGGCGCATGACTCATAACTTCTTCCATCCTGATCCAACAGCCGGAAATTTCAGCATCAATAACATTACGTTCCAGTGGGAAGATGGACTCTTTGGATTGGCTTTATCAAAACCTCAGCCTCCTGATAATCATCCGACTCTTTACTTCCATCCTTTTGTATCAATGGACGAGTTCCAAGTGTCAACAAAGTTCTTGAAAAATGAAACTCTTGCCACATCCAATGAAATTTATAAAGAATTTAAGAGAATCGGTTCTCGTGGTCCCAACGGTCAATCCAGTGTTGAATTTCTTGACAAGAAAACTGGCGTCTTATTCTACACTTTACCGAATCTAAATGCAATTGCGTGTTGGAAAACATCTAACAAAGAATATACTTTGAAATCTCAAGGTCGAATCTTCATGGACCCTGTTCTGATGGAATTTCCGAACGATGTAAAAGTTGATGACCAGTCACGTCTTTGGGTTCTATCAGATCGCTTGCAAAAGTTTTTGTACTCGGAATTGGATTCAAATGAAATAAACTTCCGTATTCTTACAGCGACAGTTCAAGATGCCATAAGTCATACTGCATGCGATCCTAAAACTAAACGACTACCCGATATTATTAATAAGTTGAGTGATCTTATTAAAACAACAGCGAAGCCTTCAACCAAGTCGAATGCTGAGAAGTTTTATGCGAGTGGATTAATTGTTTTGTCTTCAATTCTTATGAGAACAGTTTTTTGAAGGCTTCAACTGTAAATTCACAAAATTAGAACTTTGTTTGTCACTCAAACATTTAGTGCTTGTAAATCTTCTTCAATGTTTCTATGGTTCATATCAAAATGATTATGGATAAGTAAATGTAGAAATATTTATTCATTTGATCAACCCTACTCATTTCTGATAATATTAAATAAAATTAATAGCAATTTTAGCTTCAAGCCTTTAGTATGTGGTAAAATATTATGACAAAAATTATCCCAACTTGATCTAATTTAAAGAGTAAAATTTAAGCATTTTAATAGAAAATTAGTTTATGCATAAAATGCAACAATATTCAACATCAACATGAAGCTTAGTGAACGGCAGTGTTGCTTTTTTGATTTTCTAACAAACATCGAACAAGTAAATTGACTTTTTTCTTAGATTTTCTTGCTTTTCAACTGTTTTTAAATAAGTTCTTAACGAAAAAAATAAATAAAATAAAAGTAATCAAATTACAACAATTAAATAAAGAATAAAAGATTTGCCTTAAATCATTAAAATGTTTTCAAAATCAAACAGAAAAGTTGTAACTAAACAAATTTGTATAGAAATTTAATCATTGATTGGTTGTTTATCAAGCGAAGTTTTATTTGCTATCACATGTTGACATTTTTATCACTTAATGGTATTCATACCGTCAACTCTCTCAATCTATTTTACTTATCTTTTGACTATTAATTGACTATTACAGATTACTACGATGCAAAGCTCTACGGTAAATGATTTATAATTATTGGATACAATTTATGTATACTGTCAATAAAAAGCGTAGAAAATAATCAGCATTCAGTCTGCATAGAAATTTTCACGAACACACTTCAGAAAATCAAAACTGGAATTTAAATATGAAACTCGCAGAGAAATTAAAGAAAATGTTTTTGAAAATTATCGATTGGTTTATTTCTAAGCCAAAACGTGTTATTCGCTTCCTTGTGTTGTTTGTATGCTCTATCGTGGTAGCCTTTCAATTGTGCGAATGTCTCATGAAGCTTCTCAATCCTCCAATATCAACTCATTCACATTTCGATTTGAATGGGACGCTTCATTATCCCGCTGTCACATTTTGCAGAGAACCCGCTTTTAAGGAAGACATCTTGAGTGTAAGTGCTTACCTTAAGCGATCGATTTCGAACAGTTTCATGTGAAATATTTAACAGAAATACAATTTGTCAATTCATCCATCTATGACTTCAAGTTGGAAGAATTTCCCTTTCGAAACAAGTTCATTGTCTGATGTGTTTGAAGAGTCAACTTACTCAAGGGAAGAATTTTTTAATATTTATGCATTGAATGGAAATCGGAGTAACATTGCTATTGATTCTACAATGACTCTTACATATGGACGTTGCTTCACTTTAAAGCCGAGAGTTTCAACCGATTTGCCTGTAAGTATCAAGGTTTATGTAATCGTGAATCATAAAAGATTCAATAAATATTTAACAGTGGAAGAGTTCAGGATATTCTATAACATTACGACATGATCATAAAGAAGAGTTTGAAGATGCGTCTAACACTGAACCACCAGGTTTTCATGTTTATCTTCATGATCCAAGAGAAACATTCACAGAACATGGAATTCTTTCTTCGGGTCGAATTGAATACATTTATTTGTATGCTAATGAAGAAATGGAATTGAAATTGACAGTTCAACAGTTCACTAAAAACCGAGCAAGAGGAATTAAATGTTCTGACAATCATATGAAAAGCACTTCGATCGTAAGATTCAAAAATATTTCTGTCGCGGTTTCGTTTTCATTTCATTTGATTTTTAGTGTCACGAAATGTGTAGATGGAAATCGGTAGAAGAAGTTGTAAAATGCGTTGGCCCGTGGATAAAACACTCATCAGCACCTCAATGTAATAATTATCACGATGTTCGTGATCTGATTGTTCAATATAAATAGTAAGATTTGTCATTTGAGCTTTTCTTTCATATTTTAATTGCTTCAAATTTTAGTCTATCCACTATTAATGAGAGTGTTTGTGGATGCTTGGAACCTTGTCTGTCTGTATTATATTCATCCTTTGTGATGTATCGAAAACGATTCTCTGAAAATGGTTATGATCCCGGATCTCAAATTTACATTTACTACACTTCAAAAATGATAACAAACATTGAAGAACGAGCTGGTTACGACTTCTCTCAATTCATAGCAGACATGGGCGGATCATTGGGATTTTTACTTGGACTGTCGGTGATAGGATTGATTGTTGCACTTGAAAAGATTTTGGGATATTTATTTCTGGACAAGTTAATTAAAAACAACGAAGAAAAGGCGAATGAAAACGTGGAAAATGCTGAAAAAGCTGAAAAACATCGCAATGAACCAAGTCAAGTATTTTAAGAGTGAATATTCTGAAAGATTTTCATGCTATCTGATAAAAGTATTTAAATGTCTATAAAACTAATCACCAACATTAAATGTACGAGCATTCCATACCTCAAGTTTTCTTTTTCTTTATCTTCTCATTCACCTTTTAGACCTTTCAATAATGTTTTGTCTGAAAGTGTAAATTGAACATCCAATCCATGAATTTATTTTGAATAACATGTTTCATCAATGAATGATCTTCAAATAATTTTAAAAGTGTTGAAGAAGTTTTCCATATCTTCAAAATTTTCAATTTTCAGCTCCCAGTTCTCAGGCGATCAAATTTGCTATGGCCAGTATTACTAAATTCTACGTGAGTGTGTAAGTTTATTTCACATTCTTCAACTATTTTTAGCTTTTTCATGTGAACAAAATAAGTCTAACATTTTAAACCTTCACGATTGAAATTTTCTTCTGCTGTGAGCACAATTCATGATTCAGTCGAAGTCATCATATTTATTTTTCATAGATACACATAGCAATGTAATTGCAGTCTCGTATTGCAAACATTTCATTTCCTTTTTCAGGAAATCAAAGTATCTTCAATTATATCTACTACAAATATTCCAAATTACATAAAATTATTTCGTTTTCATGTTTTTCCTTCTCTTACATAAATTTGCCGTTTACCCTTCAAATAAAAATTAAAAAATTACAATTTTTACTTCTTCTGTTATTGTAAAAACTTCATAATAAACTCATCGTGTGTAGGCAAAGAAAATACAACAAGAATAAGCATTTCTCGCCTACTTTGAAGGAAAAAATGTTTTAAACATTTACTCAAATTGAAATTTCTGCCTTGTTGATCCAAGAGACAGAAAAAGAAGAAAAAGATAATAATTCAGTGGTTGTATGATTTTTCCTCGTCGCTTTCGTCTCTCTTCAAGTGAATTTGAATGAAAGTATTTCTTGAAATTCTCAAGCTTTGATGAATCATGTCTGCGATTACCCGGTCTCTGATGGTCAGCAAGGCGTGTGAAGCTTTAATTGTAGCGGTTTATTTCTTTGACTAACAACAAGAAGAGAAAAATAAATCTATAAAAAGCTCTACAAAATTTATTTCTGTAAAACATTTTTACTCATAGATTTCTCTAAATGTATAAATAGGTTAGCCACAAAATCTGATTTGCATTTAGCCTGCCACCATCATACAGATAGCTATGAAAATAGCAAAGAATTGGTGACAAATAAAAGTAAGAAGTGTTTGATGAAAGTATCAAATCTTTATTACTATGATTCCATGAAAGAAGAAATATAAATAAATTAATGTCTGCCAATATTTACATTCTATTAGTAACTGATTTTCAAACCGTAAAGATTATAAATAACGAGGAAAAGAAATGATTTTCTCTTAGATATTTATTCGAGAAGTTGACCACCTTGCAATCATTCATCATACTTGGAGCTTGACTCAGTTGAAAGAATTCATTGATCTTTAAACTGAAATCAACTTAAAACTGTGTCTGACGAGACAAGATAAAGTTTTTCAATTTGTTTTTCTTAAATTTTCCAGTTGATATCACCGGGATGACGAATGTGTGGATGAATCTTTTAAACTTACCTGTTTGGTGATGTTATTTATTTAGCTGAACGAGCAACTTCTTTCTTCAATAATGAATCGTCTGAAAAATCATAAAATTTCGAAAATTCTTTTTTACACCCACATAAGAAACATTTTCCATGTCTCACGAAACAATTTATTTTCGCTATTGTGTGCGGATGATCTTTGCTATTTTTTTTCCTTTCACTATTTGTAAGTGTGTTAAAAAGCTTTGGAATCAAACCATCCACCTAAAAATTTTCTTCTTTTGCACAATTTCCCGAACCTTCCCGCATTGTATTGGTGAGACACGATCGTCTGATGATTTTGTGTATGTAGGAGATGAACCTATAGCGACAATATTGTCAGATTGTCGGGATTTGCACGAACACTATCGATGTGTTTGTGATTTTGGACTAATAGGGAGGTGTACCCAGGCCGTCCTAAAGCGATCAAATTGCGGCATATAAAAAGGCCAGTACCCACATTTTCTCATCATAACGGCTTTCGAACGCGTAAGTGATATATTCTCTCAGAATATTCTGTTGTGTTATTCAATTTAATTTTGAAAAAAAAGGGATACCAGAGTTCATCACATTCATAAATTTTACTGCCCTACATTTGTGGATTACATAATATTAATTATGGTGAAAATGACGAAAATGCACATAATGAACAATTAAAAAATATTTTAAATTGATTAATTTGATCAATAGTTGTGATGAGCAAATCTTGAAAAAAGAAATTATTCCAGTGACCGATGAAAAATAGAAACTCGTAAAAATAGAAAAAAAGAAATGAAGAAAAGAAAGAAAATTTAATTAGTTTTAAAGTTCGAGGAAAAAGTTCCAAGAATATGCAAACAATTTCACGATTAGTTTAATGATCTTTAAATTACTCATCATCGATTTTTCAACACACATATTTATAAATTCTCTGTCGAGTGAAACGCCATATTAAGTAACATTGAGAAGTAAAATGTGAAAATGTGATGAAAAACCATATAATTTTCATTCAGAGAAAAAAAAGTGAGAAGAAAAGAAAGAAAATTTGCTTAGACGTGTAAAATATTTTCATGTGCGTTGTGAGGCACCAGCTCGCTTGTTACGACAAATTACGTAAACGCAATCCCAGAAATAGGTTTTAAAAGAGATATTTTAGTCGCAGGTTGCGACTTTTTAAAAGAGTTTAAGCAGAAAATTTCTTTTTCAACTTCTCGAGTGTTGAGGCATCAACTTTTAACACAATTTCATTCAATTATGTATGAATTTCCATAACCAAGGTTAAATCTTTCAAAATCTTCTATCGGCATTATCAAAACATGGAATATCTGTTTAAAAACGAAGAAAAAAAAACGTATTTCGATGGTGTTGTGTTTATTTAAATCGATAGCTGAACAGTAATATCTTTTCAGTCAAAAATTCTATTTAAAGTCATGAGTGTTACGTGTTATAAAAAAAAAATGAAGAAAATTCCTTTTTCCCGATTTTTCGGAAAATTCAATGGCAAAACGTTGACGGGAAATTATTCTATTTATTATGATATAGCATTGTCTAGGTTTTAAGTGATCTGGAAAGGATTTCGTCGTATCATGACAAAAAATGAAAAATCATGCAGTGGCTCAAAAAAGCTTTGAAACCAAAATAGATAATTTCAGGGACTTCAACTCGCAAAATCAAGGCAGCAAAAATTTATGAATGTGAAGAATGAAATCTCATCGGAAGATAAAACGCTTCGATGGTGAAAAAAGAAATAAATTTACTAATTAAATTTTTCTACATTTCTCAACAGGAGAGCGATAAGGGCTGAAAAAAGAAAATAAAATTACGTGTCTCTCTTAATTTCGCCCCCATCTCGAACAAATCTTTTATACTTTTTTACTTAATCAACCAAAATGCCAAAGATTGAAAAGCAAGTCGGAGACGATCCCGATCCCTCTGAGTGGTTGTTCGTCAGTCTCGAGCAAAAGCGTATCGATCAATCGAAACCTTATGATGCCAAGAAAGCATGCTGGGTTCCCTGTGAAAGCCAAGGTTATGTCTTGGGTGAAATCAAGTCAACCAAGGGTGACTTAGTCTCCGTCTCCCTTCCAGGTGGCGAGGTAAAATATCAATTCATTTAAAGTCTCGTCAGTCCGTAATTTCATAAAAAAACAACAAAAAGATATACAGAAAACTCATTTAATTATAATTATCATTTAATCAAAACAACATTAAATCTACAATTCATTGAGCAGGAAAAAAATTTGAAACGCGATCTCCTATCGCCAGTCAATCCACCAAAATTCGAAAAAGTCGAAGATATGGCAGATTTGACTCACCTTAATGAAGCTGCTGTATTGCATAATTTGCGTCAGCGCTACTACAGTAAAATTATTTACGTAAGTGTGAACACATAAACATTACTAACTAGAATTTTTCTTTCTCTTCCCCATTCTCTTTCGCACATGCACATTTTTTGTGCTCCTAAAACCACGTCGTAACGAAAAATTAAAAATAAAACGAATCTCGCCCTAATGTCTAAAAATAAAATTCACGATCTCACGAAAACAAATAAAACGATCTCTGATACATGCCCGGTCGTCAAAAAATAAAAATCTTGTATGAAATGTCTCGAACAAATGAAATGAACTCAGACTAAGGATTTCAAGAAAGACCTTGTTGGACAAGTTAACCCACCTAAATACGAAAAATGCGAAGATATGTCCAACTTGACTTATCTTAACGATGCCTCGGTTCTCCATAACTTGAGACAACGTTATTTGTCCAAACTTATCTACGTAAGTACGACTGTTCGCCAGTCTTGATGCTTGAGCTTTTTCTGATGCCATTAACAAAGTTTTTCATTCTCATCAAAATATTTTCATTAACATCCTTGATATCCAAAATCATTTTTTGAAGAAAATTAAAACTTTATTATGTCAAAACCAAAAATTAATTCCATTTTATTCATAAACTTAACCACCCCACAACCCAATTATCCTCACCAAAACATCATTTCATTCATTGTAAAACGCTTTGCGATTACAGATGCACAAATGCATTTTCGCAACATAAAAAATCAACCGCAAAAGTCACTGGAGAACGGTAATAGGCAAAGCTGACAAAGCCTTAAACGTCTGTCCAACACATCATAAGCAACGCATCAATTTTTTATGTTTCGTTTAGTCCAACTCCCAACAGTTTCAAAAATCCGATTACGGAAGAAAATTGTTGTGATTTCATAATGAGATCGATAGTAAAAACCTATTAGATCGTAATTACCTATTTATATATAAGTAAGCATATAGTTAGATATTCCTTTAATTCTATTTGATAGTGTCAACGGCTATAAAAAATATTCCGACTGTCAAATATTTACCTATCCCTTTGAAAATTGAAATCAATTCAGGTGTTTTTATAAAAATTTGTTATTCCATTTTACTAATTGATTTAATTTTATCTTCCACCTTGCAACAACAACAATACAGACTTACTCTGGTCTCTTCTGTATTGTCATCAATCCATACAAACGTTGGCCATTGTATACCAACCGCGTCGCTAAAATGTACCGTGGCAAGCGTCGCGCTGAGGTCCCACCTCATCTTTTCTCGGTCTCTGATGGCGCTTACGTCAACATGTTGACCGATCACGAAAACCAGTCTATGTTGATTACTGGTGAATCTGGTGCTGGAAAAACTGAGAACACCAAGAAAGTCATTGCGTACTTCGCTACCATTGGTGCTTCCACCAAGAAGCCCACTGAAGGCGAAAAGAGCAAGGGATCATTGGAAGATCAAGTCGTCCAAACCAATCCCGTTCTTGAAGCTTTCGGTAACGCTAAGACTGTCCGTAATGACAACTCTTCTCGTTTCGTAAGTCATACAAAAATTTCCCATTTTTTTTAAGACGATCATAATCGAATTTTATTACTAAACAGGGTAAATTCATCCGTATCCATTTCTCTGGATCTGGTAAATTGTCAGGTGCTGATATTGAGACCTACTTGTTGGAAAAGGCTCGTGTCATCTCCCAACAAACTTTGGAACGTTCTTACCATATCTTCTACCAAATGATGTCTGGATCAGTTCCCGGACTTAAAGGTACATTTCATGACTTTAAAATTTTGACATTTTTAAAGTCAAAAACTATTTTGATCACCAATTTTATGATTAGCGATACAATTATGAAACTTTTTCTTACTCAATACACGAAAAATGAAAAAAATGTTTAAAAAAGAAAACTTCTACGCAAGCACCGAAGAAATTTTTTTATGTGAACCTTTATTGTCTCTTCACCTTTCTTATGTCATGATTTTTGAATTATTGCCCTTCCCCCACCAAATCTTTGATGGTTTTAGACAAATGTATGCTCTCCAACAATATTATGGACTACATGGTTGTTGCCCAGGGTAAAACAAGCATTGCTGGTGTAGATGATGGTGAAGAAATGGAACTTACAGACGTAAGAGAACACTTTGAACCATCTTTTGACATGGCTTCAATATTTCTGCCTTAAAAATTGTTTAGCGCCAAGACTTTAGTAGATATCTCAACAAAGGGCCTTCTTTACCTCCGGTCCGAAATTAGTGCAAAGCTATTATCTGAAGTTTTTTTTTCTTTCACTTAGAAACACAATGATTTTGAAACCTTGACTTTCAACTCTCATTTTGTGTAAATATTTTGGGCTAGCACACCCGCAATAGATTAGATGAATTACGAATTGAATTGAAAATTTTAAAATAGTCTAGACTAGATAGAAAATTCTTTTTAAAGCTTTATGATTACTCTTTTAAAAACTACCATGACCCCATTTAGCCCATTGTTTGTTATCCGACAATGTTATGGACTATTACGTCGTGTCACAAGGCAAGACAACCATCCCTGGTGTAGATGATGGTGAAGAAATGACTTTAACCGATGTAAGACTTTACTTCTCTCTTAATCTTCCCTAAACTGATCCCTTTATCTGACCAAACTTTTCTTTTATTTGATTTTCATTAGTGAACGATATTAGAATAGAAATGTTGCGATATTGGACTTTATTATCCCCTGCATTATCCTCCACTTTATTGAATGATTTCATATTTTTAAATACTTGCATTAATTCCCAAAGAGATTCATTTTTAACAAATGTTTGACCCCCCACCTACCCCCCAAGCTCTCTTTTCTCTTAATTACATATCAAGATATAAACACAATGTTCACATACAAGTATAAAGTTTAATTTATTTTTAATCTCCATGTTCGTAAACATTTATTCGAAACGACAAATCCAATTTACATTATTTTTATGTGTGCATAGAGATGTGCATCCTGAGTAATAATATTATGGAATATCGCGTTGTATCTCAGGGCAAAACTACAATTCCAAATGTAGATGATGGTGAAGAAATGGAAGCTACTGACGTAAGAGTCACTGCTTGTAATTAAGTCAGCTTCACTGAAGTGTTGCTTCAAAGAATTTTTATGATAAAAATTGCGAAATTCGTTGAAACCTTGAAGGTTTCAACAATTAAACTATATTTGCTCTGCTCAAATATGTTATTGCATTTTATCAAAGTGTCAAAGCTACAATTCAGAATTGTGGACGTCGATGTAAGACTTCAATCAACTGACGTAAGGCAGTTTGGTTTTCAATGATGTTTATTCATTGTTGCATCAGCTTCAACAGTGCTTCTGATAAAACTGTTAAATATGAAAGAGAAACTGAACTTTTGTATTGAAAGATGTTTGATATTTATTGATTGATAAATATTTATAACTTTGCAAAGAATTTTCAAAATGCTTTGCTCAAGTATTTCTAAGAACGCCACATTTAATGAGAAATGTCCTGTTTAACACGTTTAGAAATGTGCATTTTGTCCAATAACATTATGGACTACCATGTTGTATCTCAGGGCAAAACTACTATTCCAAATGTAGATGATGGTGAAGAATGCGAAGCTACTGATGTAAGATTTAAGACACTGCTTAGAATTAAATCTGCTTCAAAAGATTTTTATTGTAAAAAGTGCGAATTTCGTTGAAACCTTGAACGTTTCAATACAAAAATATTTGTTTTGCTCAAATGTTTTATCGCATTGTGTCAAAGCTGCAATTTAGAATTGTGTAAGACTTCAATGAACTGAAGTCAGATAGTTTGGTTTCCAACTATTAATTAAAATATTTTTCGAATATTTTATTTATTATTGAATCAGCTTCAACAGTTCTTCGAGACAGAAATTTTATCATGAAATTTATTGTTTGATAAATATTTATAACTTTACAAAGAATTTAACTCAAGAGTTTTTAACTCAAGAAGTTAAGAACGAAATATTTAATGAGAAATGTCCTTTCTAACACGTTTACATATAGAAAATTGCATTTTGTCCAATAACATTAAGGACTACTATGTTGTGTCGCAGGGCAAAACTACAATTCCAAATGTAGACGATGGTGAAGAACTTGAAGCTACAGATGTAAGAAAAGTTTTTGCCAATTTATGCTTTACAAAACAATTCAATATGTCAGTGTTATGTGGTTCGAAACATTGATTTCTATCGACCTACCTTCAGTGAAAATTTCACTATTTGTTTAATTGAATAAGATAGGAACACTATTTTAATTAAACACAATTGAAGACACTTCTAAGAAAAGAAGACCCTGAAATTGACAACGCTTAAAATAAAGATTTATTACAGCGCACTTATGAATCGAAAGGAATTCTACAAAATCATGAGCAAACACTCAAACCATATTATTAATTAATACTTGAGCACAGTTTGTTTACTGAATCACTGTGAAAATTCCACAAACGTTTAATTAAGTGTAAATGGTACAACATTTTTAATTAAACATGTCCTCTCATCCACTTTAAACACCCACAAAACCTTTAGACAAATGTATTCTTTCCAACAATATCATGGACTACCATATTGTGTCCCAGGGTAAAACCACTATTCCTAGTGTTGATGATAATGAAGAAATGGAACTTACTGATGTGAGTTTGTTTATAGATTCCGTGATATCTGTAAACTGCTTTCAACCGTCTCCTAATCATTTTTAGAATTGTTTTTAGTTTCATAAATCACAATCTTGACTCTCGAGAGCAGGACATGGAAAACTTTATAATGAATCATAAACAAACATACAATTTGATTCGAAGTTTTTTTTTAAGGTTTATTAAGCATACAACATTTTATCCACAAATACCTTTTGACCAACAAATAAACTTTCACATCTTATGAGTTTGAAATTAAATTTGATTTTTAAAATGAATATTTTATGAAAGTTTCATCGAACTTTTACTACTACATAAATTGTTCGATAAAGATATGTTATGTTGCACATATTCTAATAACACAAACCATTCCATACAAATCATATCCCCATACGCAGATATCTGCTTACTTTCCAACAACATTATGGATTACCATATTGTGTCTCAAGGCAAAACCACAATTCCTAGCGTTGATGATGCAGAAGAAATGGGATTCACTGATGTAAGAACTGTTTTATAGACATCTGTGACATTCTATAAACTGTGAATTATTGTCATCTGTCCTTTTTTTCTTTTCAATTTAGCTTTCTCTGATTTCTTCATGCCAAAATCTTGCTTACAAACAAGAATGAAGAAATCTGCATAAGCTTTTAAAATGAATCTTTAAAAAACATTTCATGTCTATGTTGATTCATTTTTAAGACTACACTTAACTTGTTCATATTTTTTTTTTCATCTGATGATAAAAGAATATTTAACTAAACTTTTCATGATTTTCTTTTATTAACGCACACAACAACATATCATAAATCATGCAGACATCTGTTTGCTTTCAAACAACATTTTGGATTATCACATTGTATCTCAAGGGAAAACTACAATTCCAAGTGTTGACGATGGTGAAGAATTGCATGTAACCGATGTAAGATATCGGCGACATTAAATGAAACAACAACACCTTCCTTATATCCAAAACTCATTAAGCTTCTCTCAAAATATTTTAATTATTCAAATTTATTTATTGTTTTCACGCAACAAAAATTTATGCTTTGCTTATTCAATTATTTATTCTAAGTTAAGTCGAAATTAATGGTGCTTGATAGATGTTCTAAGCAAACGAACAACGCATATACACAGAAAATTAAAAAGTACAACAAAACGAAACATAAACATAAACGAGCTTTTAGAAACAGGAATAATTTCATTTTAATTAGAGATGACAATGTTATCATCAAGAATGAGCGATTATCCTTCAATAACTCAGGGAAAAACTCGCATTCCTGGTATCAATGATGGTGACGATTTCGAACAAACTGATGTAAGTGCTAAGAAATTCCCTTACACAAAACAAATTCAAATTCTTCTCCGTCACTTGTATAAAACGCACAGATTTTATGCAGTCAATTAAATATGATTGAATTATTTTGTACATTTTAAAAGAAATTCTTTTCTAAAAGCTCGCTTAAGGTTTATCTACTTGGTGAAAAAAGATGAAAAATCACAAAGAATCAAAACAAAGTGTCAAGTTTATGAACAAAAGGAGAATTTACCACAACCTTGTACCACCGATTAAATATTTATTTTTAATTTTTCAACCAACAGACATGTGTTTGTTATCAAACAATATCTATGACTACTTTAACGTATCTCAGGGTAAAGTAACTATCCCCAATGTTGATGACGGTGAAGAATGTACTTTGACTGATGTAAGTCATCGATGAAAATCTTATTTAAAATCTTAAAAAGAGTGTCCACCATTTGTACTCAAAAAAAAAAGTTTTATGTTCCCTTTTCTATCTTCCATTTTTGGAGATAAACCCCACGAAATTATTTCTGTTACCTTTTTTTATTTAGACGAGTATTCTCACACAAACCGAAAGTTTTCGGAATCTATGGAATGTTTTTTAATTCTTCACAAACCTCCCCTTTAAGAACTTTGTTTATAAACAGAAGTCACCAAACAACGTTCCGTAAATAATTATTTTGAAAATCTCCCAGAAAGGAGAAACGTATGTGAATTTGAAGATTTTTCATCATTTGCAAAACAAATTACGTGAATAGCAAAATATTTTAAAATACTAAACAATGTGTTGAAATGTTTTTCTGTGAAATATTTTTACTAATTAACATTCAAAATTATTTTACCTAGATTAAGTTTTCAAATTGGTTTTCCTTTTTCGTTTTATGTTTTTGATATGTTTTATATGTGAGTGATCTGATTTTTGTTTTATTCCTACAAATTGATGTTTGTTTCAAAACTTTTATTGTTGATTTATTTCAAATTATTTTCTAAAGAATATTAAAAGATAAACTTTAGAAGATAATTTAAAGAAACGTAAATTTATGGCATAATCTTACTTGTAATTTTTCCCCTTTCCAAAATGTAGCAAGCTTTCGATATCTTGGGTTTCACTCAAGAAGAAAAGGACAATGTCTACAAGATCACTGCCGCTGTCATGCACATGGGAGCCATGGCTTTCAAACAAAGAGGTCGCGAAGAACAGGCTGAAGCTGATGGTACCGAAGCTGGTGAGAAGGTCGCCAAATTGTTCGGAGTTGACTGCCAAGATCTCTACAAGAACTTGCTTAAGCCCCGTATCAAGGTCGGTAACGAGTTCGTCACACAAGGTCGTAACAAGGATCAAGTCACCAACTCCGTCGGTGCCCTCTGCAAGGGTGTGTTCGATCGTCTCTTCAAATGGTTGGTCAAGAAGTGTAACGAAACACTTGACACCAAGCAAAAGCGTGTATCCTTCATTGGTGTACTGGATATTGCTGGTTTCGAAATTTTCGACGTAAGTATCATCGTCATTGACAACATTCAGAATATTCGAAATATAATGAAGTTACAGGAACTAGAAAAAAAGAAACAAAAACAGTTTTGGTCAAATCTTTAAGTTAATATTTTTATCGGTTGGGTATTCATGATTGTCTTATAAATTTAGTTCAACGGTTTCGAACAATTGTGTATTAACTTCACCAATGAGAAGTTGCAACAGTTCTTCAACCATCACATGTTCGTTCTTGAACAAGAAGAATATAAGAAAGAAGGTATCAATTGGGCTTTCATTGATTTCGGCATGGACTTGTTAGCTTGCGTGGAACTTATTGAAAAGGTTTCTATTTTAAAGTCTTCATTCTTTCTGTGTCTAAAAACAAGTCCAATATTCTTGTTATTTCCTTAAATGTTGAATTTCATTTCTGTCTTAGCCGAGAATACAAAGCAATGAGGATGAAGTAAGAAATTTCCTTTTCATTTGTTTCTTAAATTTTTATGTCTCGTTGTCTCTTAAAATTAATCAAAGTGCATTTGTCAATTTTTCGTTTAATCACAATTTGAATAGTATAATGGGTTTGAACAACTCTGTATCAATTTCACTAATGAAAGATTACAACAATTCTTTAATCATCACATGTTTGTTCTTGAACAAGAAGAATATAAAAAAGAAGGTATTGTCTGGGCATTCATTGACTTTGGCTTGGACTTGCTTGCGACCATTGAAATGATTGAAAAAGTAAGGTTGCTCCGACTCTCCCCCGCCTTCAATACCTTACATTATCTTTTAAATCTCTAGATGCAAACCAGCGATAACAATCAATTGTCTCACGTTTTATATTGCCCTTGTTTCTTGGACATTTTAAATGTCTTTTCACTTTATCACATAAATCTCAAATATTGCACTGTCCACCCAAAAAAAATCCAAATTGAAAATTATTTCAAAAATAATTTCATTTCCTGTTTGTCTTTCTGTCTTGACGTTAGTAGAACTTCGTTTAAAATTTATTTAACTAGTCAAAAGGAAGGTAGTTAGTTTAGTAATGTTAGAGAACCTTTAAAAATTAATAATCTTTGTCCCAACTCATATTAGTACAACGGCTTCGAACAATTGTGTATTAACTTCACAAATGAAAAATTGCAACAATTCTTCAACCATCACATGTTCGTTCTTGAACAAGAAGAATACAAAAAGGAAGGTATCCATTGGGACTTTATTGATTTCGGCATGGATCTCTTGGCTTGTATTGAGATGATTGAAAGAGTAAGATATTGGGTCATATTGTCCAATAACACAAAATACGCTGTGCAAAATGATTGAGTTGACGCCAATGAATCATCATTCCTGTTTTTATTTATTTTGGGGATTTTAAATAGATTAGAAGAATCAGAATAGTATTTTATTTATAAGTACCTGTAGGGTCAACTAGTCGACCATAAACTGTTAAACAGTCCATTCTAATCACATCATCAGATCATACAACAAATAACTAACAAATAATTCACAGTACAACGGTTTCGAACAATTGTGTATTAACTTCACCAATGAGAAGTTGCAACAGTTCTTCAACCATCACATGTTCGTTCTTGAACAAGAAGAATATAAGAAAGAAGGTATCGATTGGGCCTTCATTGATTTCGGCATGGACTTGTTGGCTTGTATTGAGATGATTGAGAAGGTATAAGAACTAAAGATTCCAGACAACCTATCTATCAATGTCCTATCAAAAAAAAATCTTTCAATTCTATCCATAATTAATTAAGCAAGAAAATAATCAAGCAAAATATAAATTGAGAAGCACAGAGCCGTGAAAGGACTTCGAATGGCTCACGATTATAAATCTACACTGTTGAACACGTTGTGTCGTTATTGTGATTGCATAAACTATTACACATTATTCAATCATTTACATTAATCTTTAACTTGAGTTTTCCACCCAAAACAAAAAATAGGACGAAATGAAAATTCGATTTGGTTTTGTTGATTTCCACCCCCTTGGTTCTGGTTGTTTGATATCAATATTTTATGGAAAAATTTGATATTTTAGTATTAAGTTCCCACACCCAAAAATATTTATAAAACGAATTGAACATATTATGACAATGTTTATTGTTTTCGTAAAATATTTAATTTTATTCCCGCCACCATTAATTCCACAGTATAACGGCTTCGAACAATTGTGTATTAACTTCACCAATGAGAAATTGCAGCAGTTCTTCAACCATCACATGTTCGTTCTTGAACAAGAAGAATATCAACGTGAGGGAATCGAATGGACTTTCATCGATTTCGGCATGGATTTGCAAACATGTATTGATTTGATTGAAAAGGTAGCCCATTTAATCGGGTCATACTGAAACGAAAAAACTAATGGCAAATTAGTGTCGAAAAAAATCGTCTGCGCTGTGATGAATTTTTTTCAATCAAATTGTTTGTTTTTCCTGTTGTTGATGTTTTGTTTTGTGATGTTTATTTTATGTTTTATTAATCATTATATTTTAGGTTCATTTTCCAATTTGAAAATTTCCATTCAAATGGTGAAGAAAAATCATATGAAAATGGTGATCACCACTTTAGTAAATTTTCTTCATTTGTTTAATTCACTTTACATGTATGGATTCTTTGGACTTGACAAAATAGTTTAATGGATTCGAACAACTTTGTATTAATTATACAAACGAACGATTACAACAATTTTTCAATCACCACATGTTTGTACTCGAACAAGAAGAGTATGAACGTGAAGGCATTGGCTGGGTCTTCATTGACTTTGGCCTGGATCTTCAATCAACAATTGAGCTAATTGAAAGGGTATTTTTCTACCTTTATTTCTAAATTGAACAGTAGAATTACAAGTTGAGAAAAGTAGAAATATATCAATTGATTTTTTTCCTTTTTAAAAGTTGCTTAATAAAGTTCGAGGTGGTAATTTCTTATAAAATTAAACATAAAAAATTAGAATTGTCCAAAGAATTACGTTTTGTTGTGAAATATTCGTGAAATATTATAACAAAAAAATGTAATTTTATATTTAATGTCATTTTTGTGGTTTTCTAAGACATTAAAAGCTTTCGCTATACTTTCACGCTTTGCAAATAATTTATCTGGTAAGAAGTGTTCTGACAGTAGAATTGATTAGAAAATCTCTTTAGAATAGTAAAACATTATTATGTGCTTCAAATGCTTATAAAATCCTTTAGAATCCTTTAATAGATTTTCCACACAATTAATCCACTTTAATGTTCTTGTTTAGATGATTTTCTAATATTCTTTTTTATTTCATCCTTCGCATTATAATAAAAATAGCCTATGGGTATCTTGTCCATTCTTGAAGAAGAATCTATGTTCCCTAAAGCTACTGATCAGACATTCGCTGAGAAGTTGATGACCAACCACTTGGGCAAATCTGCTCCATTCTTGAAGCCAAAACCACCAAAGCCTGGTTGCCAAGCTGGTCACTTTGCCATTGCTCATTATGCTGGTATTGTCACATATAACATCACTGGATGGTTGGAAAAGAACAAGGATCCATTGAACGACACTGTTGTCGATCAATTCAAGAAGGGAAGCAACATGTTGTTGCTCGAAATCTTCGCTGACCATCCAGGTCAATCTGGTACCGCTGACGCCGGTGGCAAGGGAGGTCGTGGTAAGAAGGGTGGGGGCTTCGCCACTGTCTCATCTTCCTACAAGGAACAATTGAACAACTTGATGCAAACATTGCGTGCAACTCACCCTCATTTCGTCCGTTGTATCATTCCCAACGAATTGAAACAGACTGGTTTGATCGACGCTAAGCTTGTCATGCATCAGCTCACTTGTAACGGTGTACTTGAAGGTATCCGTATCTGTCGTAAAGGTTTCCCCAACAGAATGAACTACCCTGATTTCAAGTTGCGGTAAGTATCATGAAATAAATCGTCATTTATAAATCTTTGGATCTTCATAAATTATTCTCAACATGAAAATCTTTTGGAAGAATTATTAAAATTTTCAAACTTGCTATTCGTCAAACGACAAATAATTAATTCTTCGTATTGCAAATCTTCAGTTATAAGATCTTAGCTCCACAACTTATGGATGATGAGCCAAATCCAAAGATTGCAACAGAAAAATGTTTAGAGAGCACAACACTTGACCCCGACTTTTATCGCATTGGTCATACGAAGGCGAGAAAACATTTTTTAAGACTTCTTCAATGTTTAAATGTTTTTGTTCAAAAGTCTTTTTAAAAATGATCGTCGATTTCTTTTTTATTTGTTTCATGTTGCAGAAAGTTATTAATTTTATTTCAATCGATTTAGTTATTTAATTCTTGCACCAACTGCTATGACAAATGAATCGGATCCGAAAGTTGCTGCTAAAATATGCTTCGATAGCATTGGATTAGATCCAGAAAATTATCGTATTGGTCATACAAAGGCGAGAAATATTCCCCGAATGATTTGAATATTTTTTTCTTGCCCTTTAAATATAAATTAGAATCTTTTGACCCTTTTTGCAGAATACCATTTGCAAATCATTTTAGATACCCGGTAGTAGAAGTTATGCGATTCTCCCTTCAAATGAAATAATATCTATAATGATCTATAATGATCATGCTTAAGCATATATCAAAAAAGAATCATTTCACTATGAGTTTCATCCAAGAAATATTATTGATGAATGAGTAAAGTAGTCTTGTCTTGTTTTTATGTGTCACCCTTTTGAACCTTTCGATACATTTCAATTAAATTTTTTTTTTCTGTCAACCTGCCCTTGATTTAAACTTTAAATATCTTTAGTTACCTTATCCTTGCACCAGCTGAAATGCAAAAAGAAAAAGATCCTAAAAAAGGAGCTGCTGTCTGCTTAGAAAAGACTGGATTAGATCCTGAACTTTACCGTTTGGGTCATACAAAGGCGAGGAAACAAATTTCTTTCATTTATATCTTTGCATCCAATTTGATCGATAAAATCATAGAAGATTTAACGGTCGAATTTTTTAATAATATTTTTAAGCCAAAGCATATGATAATGCAGGAGAATGTTCCTTAAATTTACTCCAACTTTCCCAATTTCTCGATAAAGGATATGAAAATCACCCTCCTGGAAAACAAAATTGAAGATTCGACAAGAAGTATTAAAATATTTTCTGGAAAAAATAAGAAATAGCTCAATTGGATCTGTTTATCCTTTTTCATTGATGTGAAAGTGAAAAACGTTTTAATCATTATTTAATTTGTCCATTTTTTTGCACTTTAACTTTAAACATTTCCCTTCCCTACAATACCAGTTACAAAATTTTGAACCCAAAAACGGTCGATGAAATTGTCGCCAGTGGAACAAAAGATCCCAAGAAGGTCGCTCAAGCTATCGTGGATTCAGCTGGGCTTGACGCCGAACTTTACAGATTGGGCAACACAAAGGCATGATTTCCCTTCTTAAATCTGTTTTAATGTGAAACCATTTTTTCTAGAATTTAGTTTGTTTCCCTCTACGAATCACAATATTTACTTAAAAGTAATCGTGAAAAAATATTCTTCCAACCCACACACATACTTAGATGACGAAGTTCGTAGTAAACCTTAAAGATCGATAAATGAACATAATCGACTGATCCCAGAAAGTTTTAATTCAGAAATGCAATTTGGAAAAACTTTCATTCCCTATAAATGAAAAATCATTTCCCCATCATAGTTAAAACATAAATTAACATAGAAAACTCCCTTAGGACTTGTTAATTATTTAAAATTTATTTCATTCCATTTTATTTACCTTTGACATCAATTGGAATTTGATGCAACAATCAACATTAAAACATAATCCATTTAAAATCATATATTCACCATTCCGTGAAATAACATCGCAGATACAAAATTCTGTGCGTTAATTTGATCAAAGATGTTCCCAAACCCGAGGTAGCATCCCAAATTATTTTAACACATCTTCAAATGCCCGAAGAAAATTACCGCATGGGCAAGACAAAGGTACATATTTTTATCTGATGGACCAGTTAAAAGTATAAAAAAGACATTAATTAATAATTATCCACTGTTTTGAATAGAGTTAAGTAATCAATAATCTAACAATGTTTGCATGCAATTTTGAACAATATCAACAGCTTCAAATTTCACAATGTCACGAGAAAAGATTTAATTAAAATAATTATGAAAATTTAGGTCTTCTTCCGTGCTGGTGTCTTGGGTCAAATGGAGGAATTCCGTGATGAACGTCTCAGCCGTATCATGTCATGGATGCAATCATGGGCTCGTGGTTTCCTTACCCGTAAGACCTTCAAGAAATTGCAAGAACAACGTCTTGCCCTCACAGTTGTCCAACGCTCATTGCGTAGATATCTTAAGCTCCGCACATGGCCATGGTGGAAATTGTGGCAAAAAGTTAAGCCATTGCTCAATGCCTCACGCGTTGAAGATCAAATTGCTGTAAGTATTCTCTCTTTCCATTTTATAAATAATCTCAAGGATTTTCTGGTTCACTGATGACGAGTTTCTTCAAAGGTTCATTTTCTTCAACATTATCTGCAATTTAATTTTTAATATACAAAAAAGTTATTTTTAGCATCATTCCATCAACGTTTGAATTATTCACACATTCCAAATTTCCAAAGCTGCATGGAATCAAAATTAATATATACAGTCTTAGTATATAAATAAGTAAAAAATTTATCATCATCATTTTTCCACCCTCAAAGTCAAGAAAAATTAGTTTAAATCTTTTTTTTCCTACATTTTTGCTCAAATTTCAACGAATGAGTTTCTGATGTCTAAAAATATTTTTCCAACATCATGAAACATATTTTCATGTATAGAACTTTCCAAAAGTCTCATTTTTTATAATATATTCATGCAGTTTATCCAGGGGAAAATTTAGTTTTCAACCGTCGACATACATTCTTCGTGTTAAAAAGTATCTGTGTAGGTGGAGTTTTCGGAAATATTGCGAAGATTTTATTTAAAGATTCCAATTAAATCTCCAGTTATCTTTAAGCTGTCGGACATAGCTTACGTGCTTTCACCGTAGAGTGATTTCGAATTCTTTTTCATATAGAATATTCTTCCTTCCTGTTTGTCTCAAACGATCCAAATAATTATCTTATTGCAAATAATCGAAATAAATATTTAAAAATCGTGATGTCTACAAATGAACCAGAGCCTAAAATCGAAATAAGTACGGCGGTTCTTATTCCACCTGATACGGATAATACTTCGAAGGCACATATTGTGCCTGAAAAACGTAAAGTTAAAAAGTCTAAAGAACCTAAAGAACCTAAAGTGGTCGTTCCTGCTCCTGAAATTGAGAAAGTAATTGAACCTGAAGTAGTTCCAGTTGTGGAACCTGAAACGGTTAAAGTTATCGAACAAGAAATAACGAATGATGTCGAGCCTGAAAAAATTATTGATGAAGTTGTACATGAAGAAGAAATTCCAATTATTGAACCAGAAAAGCCTAGAAAATCAGTGAAACTTGTTGAAACAAGCACATATTTCAACGATGAACCGATGACATTTCAGAAACTTGAAGAGAAAGCAGCTAAAGCCCAAGAAGCCTTCGAAAAGGAAGAGAAAGCCCGCAAGGAATTGGAAGCCCTCAACAGCAAATTGTTGGCTGAAAAGACCGCTCTTTTGGACTCATTGTCTGGAGAGAAGGGAGCTCTTTCAGATTACCAAGAAAAGTGTGCTAAGCTCACCGCCCAAAAGAATGACTTGGATAACCAATTGCGTGTAAGTTGACATTTTCTTTCCATGATTTCATTTTATAAATATTCAACACAAGATACAATTTTGTACTAAAAATATCATCGCCAAACGTTGTGAAAACATACATAAAGTAATTTAAATTAAGGCTAATCTTGATCTAAATTTATGTGCTGTGAATCAGAACTCAAATGAATGAATATATTTGTGATTCACTTAACGGTTAATGTTACTTCATTTGATTTCGATCTACATAAGTTCGGTTACAAAATCATTTTTGGCACTTTTCCAATTCGTGTTTTCATTCCATGAAACAACATTTTTTATATAAAAAAATTATCCGATGAAGAAGTCGAAAAAAATATTTATTTTACCTGTTTAAAAGATCATCATCACGAAATTAATAATTCTATTTTTATCACGCCTATAAAATTTGAAATGTGAAAAAATATGAAAAATTTATCCACAGAAAAATTTCATATTTAGAAGAATTTTCATTTAATAATTGTGCATTTATTTAATTCTCCTTTAGGATGTCCAAGAACGTTTGGCACAAGAAGAAGATGCCAGAAATCAAATGTTCCAAACCAAGAAGAAGTGCGAACAAGAGATTTCGGGCTTGAAGAAAGACTTGGAAGACTTGGAATTGTCAATCCAAAAATCAGAACAAGACAAGGCTACCAAGGACCATCAAATCCGCAATTTGAATGATGAAATCGCCCATCAAGATGAACTCATCAACAAATTGAACAAGGAGAAGAAGATGCAAGGAGAAACCAACCAAAAGACAGCTGAAGAATTGCAAGCTGCTGAAGATAAGGTCAACCATTTGAACAAAGTTAAAGCCAAGTTGGAACAAACTTTGGATGAATTGGAAGATTCATTGGAACGTGAAAAGAAACTCCGTGGTGATGTTGAAAAATCCAAGCGTAAGGTTGAAGGTGACTTGAAACTCACCCAAGAAGCTGTCGCTGACTTGGAACGCAACAAGAAGGAGCTTGAACAAACCATCCAACGTAAAGACAAGGAAATTTCATCTCTCACCGCTAAGTTGGAAGATGAACAATCCTTGGTTGGAAAACTCCAAAAACAAATCAAGGAACTCCAATCAAGAATTGAAGAACTTGAAGAAGAAGTCGAGGCTGAACGTCAAGCTCGTGCCAAGGCTGAGAAACAACGTGCTGATTTGGCTCGTGAACTCGAGGAATTGGGTGAACGTCTCGAAGAAGCTGGTGGTGCAACATCTGCCCAAATCGAACTCAACAAGAAACGTGAAGCTGAATTGGCTAAATTGCGTCGTGATTTGGAGGAAGCTAACATTCAACATGAAGGCACATTGGCCAACTTGCGCAAGAAGCACAACGATGCCGTCGCTGAAATGGCTGAACAAGTTGATCAACTCAACAAATTGAAGACCAAGTGAGTAGAAATTTTAATTTATTAAAAGAAAAAAAAACACATTCACGTCATGAAATTTTCTTCTCGAGTTTAAAAAGTAAAAATCATTTTTGGCAAGAAAACAAATGTTGAAAAAACATTGATCGCTGGTTTCATTTAATAATCATAATAATCATTAATATAGAGCTGAGCACGATCGTGCTAATATGTATAATGAATTGAACAATACTCGCGCTGCCTGTGATCAACTATCTCGCGAGAAGGTAAACATATTCGTCGAATTCTCCCTCTGATTTCTGAATGTTTTCCGTTATCTTCGTGTTTTGATTTGTCTACATAAATCAAAAATAATATTACAGCATGAAGAAAATATTCACCATGTGTTAATCATCATCATTTATAGATTTATATTTAGATTCCGTCGCATAAACCTGAAATCACATATTTTTGTAGTTCTTAAATGTTCACTTGTGAATTTTTTTACCCTACAGAGCTGAAAAGGAGAGATCACAATACTTCGGAGAAGTCAATGATCTCCGTCACAGCCTCGACCAAGTTGCCAATGAAAAGGTATAGAGTTGCGAAAAGTTTAAAGATTACTTGCATAGTTTGATTAAATGCTTATTGATAAATATTACAAACAAAAGAAAGAAAGAAAATTTAAAACAATTTTTGCAGCTCAATTAATACCTTTAAAAATTATAAAAACCTCAAATATTTGTCTAACAATTTAACAAATGCAAATAACATGATTGATGATTGAATTTCTTCCTTAATCTTAACTATATAAAAATTAAATAATTTATTAACAATTAAATGATTTATAGTCATGTAAGAAGATAAATAAGTATTGAAGCATGTTTAGTTTGAGTTTTGATTTCATTTCTTTTTTATACTTTGACTAATGACTTCCGTTTTCATATATTTAGGCCGCCCAAGAGAAGATCGCCAAGCAATTGCAACACACCCTCAACGAAACTCAAGGAAAATTGGATGAAACCAACCGCACTTTGAACGATTTCGATGCTGGCAAGAAGAAGTTGTCAATTGAAAACTCAGATCTTCTTCGTCAATTGGAAGAAGCTGAATCACAAGTTTCACAATTGTCCAAGATCAAGATTTCACTCACCCAACAATTGGAAGATACCAAACGTTTGGCCGATGAGGAAGCTCGTGAACGTGCTACACTTTTGGGCAAATTCCGCAACTTGGAACACGACTTGGATAACCTCCGTGAACAAGTTGAAGAAGAAGCTGAAGGCAAGGCTGATATGCAACGTCAACTCAGCAAAGCCAACGCTGAAGCTCAATTGTGGCGTGCCAAATACGAATCTGAGGGTGTCGCTCGCTCAGAAGAATTGGAAGAAGCTAAACGTAAGCTCCAAGCTCGTCTCGCTGAAGCCGAAGAAACAATCGAATCTCTCAACCAGAAATGTGTTGCTTTGGAGAAGACCAAGCAACGTCTTTCAACAGAAGTCGAAGACTTGCAATTGGAAGTTGACCGTGCCACCACCATTGCCAACGCTGCTGAGAAGAAACAAAAGGCCTTCGACAAGATCATTGGCGAATGGAAACTCAAGGTTGATGACCTTGCCGCTGAATTGGATGCTTCCCAAAAGGAATGCCGCAACTACTCCACCGAATTGTTCCGTCTCAAGGGAGCATACGAAGAAGGACAAGAACAATTGGAAGCTGTCCGCCGTGAAAACAAGAACTTGGCTGATGAAGTCAAGGACTTGCTCGACCAAATCGGTGAAGGTGGCCGCAACATCCATGAAATCGAAAAGGCACGCAAACGTCTTGAAGTTGAAAAAGACGAATTGCAAGCTGCTTTGGAAGAAGCTGAAGCTGCTTTGGAACAAGAAGAGAACAAAGTATTGCGCGCTCAACTCGAGTTGTCTCAAGTTCGTCAAGAAATTGACCGCCGCATCCAAGAGAAGGAAGAAGAATTCGAAAACACCCGCAAGAATCACCAACGTGCCCTCGACTCAATGCAAGCTTCACTCGAGGCTGAAGCCAAGGGTAAGGCTGAGGCTCTTCGCATGAAGAAGAAGTTGGAAGCTGACATCAATGAACTTGAAATCGCTTTGGACCACGCCAACAAGGCCAACGCTGAAGCTCAAAAGAACATCAAACGTTACCAACAACAGCTTAAAGACTTGCAAACTGCCCTCGAAGAAGAACAACGTGCCCGTGATGATGCCCGTGAACAACTCGGAATCTCAGAACGTCGCGCCAACGCCCTCCAAAACGAATTGGAAGAATCTCGTACCCTCTTGGAACAAGCCGACCGTGGCCGTCGCCAAGCAGAACAAGAATTGGGAGATGCTCATGAACAACTTAATGAAATCTCTGCCCAAAACGCTTCCATTTCAGCTGCCAAGAGAAAGTTGGAATCAGAATTGCAAACTCTCCACTCCGATTTGGATGAATTGTTGAACGAAGCCAAGAACTCCGAAGAAAAGGCCAAGAAGGCTATGGTTGATGCTGCCCGTCTTGCTGATGAACTCCGTGCTGAACAAGACCATGCTCAAACCCAAGAGAAACTCCGCAAGGCTCTTGAAACTCAAATCAAGGAATTGCAAGTCCGTTTGGATGAAGCTGAAGCCAACGCCCTTAAGGGAGGCAAGAAAGCAATCCAAAAATTGGAACAACGTGTACGTGAATTGGAGAATGAATTGGATGGTGAACAACGCAGACATGCTGATGCCCAGAAGAATCTCCGCAAGGGTGAACGCAGAATTAAGGAATTGACCTTCCAATCCGAAGAAGATCGTAAGAACCATGAACGCATGCAAGACTTGGTCGACAAACTTCAACAGAAGATCAAGACATACAAGAGACAGATTGAAGAAGCCGAAGAAATTGCTGCCCTCAACTTGGCCAAATTCCGCAAAGCTCAACAAGAATTGGAAGAATCTGAGGAACGTGCTGACTTAGCTGAACAAGCCATCAGCAAATTCCGTGCAAAGGGACGTGGTGGATCAATGGCTCGTGGAGCTAGCCCAGTGGTAAGTTGATTCATTCTAAATGATTTTGAAGCATTTTCTGCCACCTACATACCATTTCTACTCTTTTAAAAATAGTAAATCTTCTACTACGATAGCCCTCAGCAACAAACCGTTTCAGTGTTTTGGAATATTAAATTAAACAAAAAACCTATAAAAAAATTAAAAGAGATTGAATTAAATCAAACTTATTCCAAATAAAGTCTTTCATTAAAATTTAGTAAGTGCCCCTTTATTATTCTTTTAAATATTTTCTCTGTTGTTTTCCTGTACACAAGTTATCCAACAATCGAAAAACAAATAACATTGGACAAGATTTCATTAATAGTTTTTATAAAAAAGCATAAAAATTATTTTATCAAACATCATTTGAAAGTGAAAACTTTTTTATTTGATTTTACAACACCTCAGTCAATAACAGTTAAGAAATTAAATTTCTTTCGAATGTCAATGTTCCCTTTTAATATTTATTTTATTAGTGAAATTATGTTTATGAAGATGTATTCATAATTAATTATTTTCTTCTTTCAGCCCCAAAGACCAAACCCCGCATTCGGAGGACCTCGTTTCGATCTTGCTCCTGAAAACGACTTCTAAACATTTGGAAAAATAAAACGATCTTGAAATCATTTGCTTTATTATTTTATTTTAAGATCCCTTTTTTATTTTTTTTATAATTTGCCTCGATGTGCTTAATTTCTATACACAAAAAGGAGTTTTCAAAACTTTATTGCGTTGAAAAACCAATGAAAATAGTAAATTGTAAAATTGAAAAGATCATAAATTCCATCGAAATTTTCATCAGAAAAATCTCCATAAACAATAGATTCACACACCAATTAATAGCCCACAAAGTAAAGAAAATATTTGCCACAAGCTTAACCTTTCATTTTTTACATTTTTATTTAAAATTTAATTCTTTTCTATAAGTCATTGTTTGCGCCGACATTATTTGTTGTAAAAAAATAAATGGGAAAAATGTTTAAAACAGAAAGTGAGAGAAAATTTAAATAATGTATTTATTTTTCTTTGTTCTTTTTGTAATTAATTATTAAAAAATTCAATTTGATAGGAATTCAGAGAATAGGAACATCTTTTCGATCGTATTGAACTGATGTGTTAGGGAACATTTTGCTTATGATATTTCTCATTAAGTATCTGAATGAAAACGAACAAATATCTTAGCTTTTCAAAAACAAATCGAAAAAAAACCAGCAATAAAAATTAACTAATAAATAAGAGAATCGCCGAAGGAATGTGGAAAAAGAGACACAATTATGAGACACGTTTACCAACTTATTATTCAGCCCATTATTTCATCACACGACATCAGATTTTCTTTTAAAAGCAGTTCATTTTTGTTTCTTGGTTTTCTTTATAAACGTTACGAAACATTATCTAGTTAGGAAATGTCATAAAATTCACCTTTCTTAACATAACAGTGCAATTATTTTATACTGAATTCCAGAGGAAAAATATGTGTGAACCATTGAACATCTTGAACAACTTATTAAATAAACAAAATAATTTAAAATAAAAAAAACTTATCAATGAATTTTTATTTCTTATTTGAAAACTTTCAACAATTTCTTACAGATTTAACTTTGAATTTGTGCAATTCTAATTGTGTTAAATTCAAAGTAAAAGATTTTTTTATTAATAAGCAGTGAAGAATTCTTATAAACATATTTCATGTGATTCTTGAATATTTAATAGGGAAATTAAGGGAATGAGATTTTTAATCGAGATTTCTTTTCGGTTGCCATTGGAGATAATTTGCTTGTGTTGCAGCTTCATACTCTTGAACCAATGAATCAACAACTTCACGTGAATCATCGAGCTCAGATAAATCATCTTTGAACATTTCTTCCTTCTTGAATTGATCCAGAAAAGCTCCACGTTTTCGTAATTTGTCATATTGATTCAAAGCTCTCTCAAAAAGCGAACAAATGCTTGTGTGATTGGCAAGCATCAACCCAGATACACGATGACTGCTTTGAATGTAAGGTGAGCTTCGTGAAAGTGCAACTTGAATACTTGCTGGACCCCAAGGAATAAATTGTGCAAGTTTTCGTTCTCGTATCCGTTGCAAAGATTTGTGGACTTGCGTTGGATCGACTTCACCTTGAACGATATTTAAAATGGAAATGTAGCAATGATGATTGGTTTTATCAGGACCAGTTGAAACCATCATATTTTTGGGTTGCAAGAGACGACGCATTACATCCAACACAGTTGTCTTCCGAACATTAGCAACGTCCAAGTCAGTAGTGAGTGGCGTGTATCCTGTCATTAAGAAATGAAGTTTTGGCGTAGGAATTAATGGAGCTATCAAGCCGATGAGATTATTGTTCATGTAAGAAGGATAACGAAGAGTTGTTGTGCTAACGGACATGATTGTTGAGACGAGTGAATTAATTTGTGTGAATGTTGGATTTTCTATGTGCAGCCGGTCTGTGGCAATTCGATTTAATGCCGTGTTATCGAGAACAACAACACAGTCAGCACAACTAGTAAGCCGACGGAGAGTAAGAAGTGAGTTATAGGGTTGTACCACAACATCACTTATCTCATCTTGATTTGGAAACACGCTGTATGTTTGGACAAGTTTCTTAGGAAAATGATCAGAGAGACGTTCCATGATGTAACTTCCCATGCCTGAACCAGTTCCACCGGCAATTGAATGACACAAAACAAACCCTTCAAGACTATCACTGCCATCAGCTTCACGATCAATTATATCAAATACTTCTTCTTGGAGCTTCTCCCCTTGACCGAAACCTGAAGCCCAATTGTTACCAGCACCTCCTCCATCTTTCGATAAATAAATATTTTCTGGATTATAAAGCTATAAATAAAACAAAACATTAAGCATTGAATGAAAATTTCAACATTATTTTCACTATACTTTAGCATATTGTGATGTCATAATCGTGTTAATGACGCGAGGTTCTAAATCCAATAAGACAGCTCTTGGGATGTAATGATCATCATCAGCTTGATAGAAGAATACATCTTTCCGATCAGATCCATCAGTTGCAAAATCTTCTAGCACGCCAGAAGGTGAAATACCGTGTTCCAAGCATAAACGTTTCCAAAACTCAAAGCCGACTGTAATCAAATATTCAGAATTGAACCTTTTTATGTTTTTAATGAACTTACTTTGGTTGCCGCATTGGCCCAGTTGTAGTGTTATCATTTCACTTGGCATTTTGAAGACTTTACTATTTTTAACAAGTTTATAATATTAAATTAGTTGATAAATTGATGGAAACGCTCTTTAATTAATACTTTTGTGTTTTTTTGTTGATATTTTTGACTTCGAAAAATTCGAACTTCTAAAATTCGACGTAACCCTGCACGTTCCGGCGTAATCCATAGAAGAGAGGAAAATTCCCGCCATTTCGTATCCGCATAATCCATCCACTTTTTTGATGTCATTGATTCACGATTTATAAAATATTGCTTGTGTCGTATACTGTATAATTAAATACATTGATGCGAATAGAATGTTAAAGAATATCTTACACAAATTTAATACGTAATAAACTTTTCAGAATCAAACATTATTAAACTTATAAAGTCTTCACTTTATCTCTATCAATTAATATTTTCATCAAAAAGCTCTCTGACATTTATTGCCTGCAAAACTTTGAAGCAATAAATTTTATGCGACCCAAATTTAAAAGTAGACTTTGAAGTATATTTTCAGAAAGGATAAATAGTTGACACCATGATATTCAGAACGAAATAAATAAAAACTTTCAACTTTTAACTTTTTAGCCACTAAGTTTCAAATTTATTAGAATGTTTCAATAAATTGCTTTGAAATTTAATATCTTTGACATTATATAATCAATGAAGAAAAACAAAACTCAAGTTTATTAGAACAATTAAATTTTTAAATAAATGTTTAATATAGAGGAAAATATTTTCAACATGTTGACAAAAGCTTTGGTATTTATGTAAATGTTTTCTCTTTGAAAGGTTTTCCCTTTTGATGAATTTTATTGATTGATAATGAGGATGCTTACGCATTTACAACTGCAAAATAGGTATAAAGTTTAATTAAACAATTAAACCTGTAAATATTTTTTTTACCATCGCCAGCAATTAACTCTTCAGCGAGCTCATAAATTTCATTGACACACTATTAGGAGAGGTAAACAAATTGCGAAGTTAAATTTCATACATGAAACAAATTTAAAAACATTTTCAAGTAGATAGATAGATACCTCAGCATTTTTAAATTTAGTTATTCTTGGATCTTCGTCTATGTTTATTATTAGTTTCTTCTTTAATTCTTCAGACGAAATTTGATCAACTGTATCAGGTTTTATTTTATCTGAAGGCTTTTGATTTACTGATTCTACCTCATCTTTGTTTGTTTCATTGGCTTCAGATAATGTTTCATTGTCTTGCAAATTCTCAACAGGTTTCCTCAAGCTATTAAATAGAAAATAATTAGGCAACGTAAAGGATATTTATCTCATTAACTTAGAATTCAAACCTTTCTTCAAAAATCTCCTTTTGACGAATCATTCGCTTTTTCTCCTTTTCACTCAACAAAAAATCTTTAAGATTTATTTCACAATTTGTGAATTTCCGATTTTTGATCCTCAAGAAATTCATCCCGGTAATTTTAGTTGCATTGGGATCGAAAATGTAAAGCGTTTGTTCTTCTAACATTTTTTCTCTGGCTTTTTGTGTTGTGATTTCCTTTTGTCTTTCTTGTTCCTCCAAAAGTAATCGTTCCCGTTCCCAACGTCTTCCTTGCTTGATTAACTCTTCGGCATTTTTTTCACAAACTGTTTTCAATTTGATTCTCTTTTTCATAAGCAATTTATTTGTTTTCTGATTGATGGCAAACACAGGATGTTCACTCATTGTGTTTGGATATTTTTCTGAATTCTCTAATAAATTCATTCTCTTTTCACGTTCCAATTCAGAGACCTACAGGAAAGTTGTTAAAATATTTCAGATTAAGGAAATAAAGAAAACTGGAAACATTTAATCGAGAGACACCATAAATCACATAAAATGGGGGAATAATCAACATTAAGCAGTCTAATGAATCACGAAATGTATATGGAAAATCAATATCTCGTCACTCATGGGTTCCCATCAAACGTGATTTATAATCTTAACGACATACAGAGGTATTTGCCTACCAAAACTATGCTCTGTGCTGTGAATAAAGTGCTTGAGTAATTCTGAATATCATTAGGTGGTTTCAACATAATTCCAAGCTGTTTTTTAATTTCCTCAGACTTATTTTGATGAAAATTTTTGAACCAAGTTGAGTGAGTTGTCAGAATTATTTGAAATGATAGAAGCATGAATAAATAAAGAAGCTTTGATATTTATAGTTTTGCAAAATCCCGAAATCATTCGAAAAATTTGCATAAACATCTTTCAATTTTTAAACCTGTCTCTGCGAAATTCTCTTCATAAGTGTTTCATGATAGTCTTCTTGAATTCTTCTTCGAAGATCCAACATGTATTTTCGGTCTGTCAGCCGCACCACACTGAAAAGTTAAATAAGAAAAACAACACTGAACTGCTCAAATGCTCAACACCTACTGAACAAAGCCAGAAGCTTTTGAATTTTCGTTCTCACCTGCTTCCCATTAAGCGTTCTAATTGTTTAGCAACTCGCGGTAAGTTGAAGCTATGAACAAAGAGAGAAATAGGAAAATTTTGAAAACTATTTGTTACTAGCTACAAGCTGAGATTCATATATTTCATTTTTGCGATCACGATATATGTTGGCAACATAATAATAAAAAGGAAAACAATTCCGTTGCCATATTCATTCATGTGCTTATGCTCATCATAGAGCTGCATCGATCTGACATGTCTAAGTTTAATTTATTTGTTTGTTTAGATTCTGATTCATTTTATCGATATGAAGATATTTGTACGTGTATTTGGAAAATTCATTCACAAATGTGTGAGACAAAAAAGGTGAAGCGAATAAAAGAAATGAGAAATCTATGTTAAGCTTGTAGTTCTCAGCATGTTCACTCAAGAAAAACTTTGATATTTAAGCTTTCAATTCAAACTTTAATCGATAATGCCTTTTTCAATCGTTTAAAATTTCATACTTGAATGCTTCGCTTACACGCGATGTTTTTAACGCCGAAAGTGATAAAACCACAAAGCAGCTTCTTAAATCAATTTTTCTTTTGATTTATATATTTTAATGTAATGTTTCATAATTTTAATAATTTCGTTTACAAATTTCTAAATGGAAAAATATTTAAAATGTTCTAAAGGTGGAAAAATTATCTATTAATAATGTTTGATTCTTAAACTTACGAATATATTATTGATTCCTTTTTCCAAAATAAATCGTCTTGTACTTCCATTTCTTTTAATTATTTAATAAAACAGCAATTTTGAAATTTAACTTATTAAGATATGAATAGTTTTGATAGTCAATTGAATTTATTAGAGTGTTCACTTTATGCGTACTGAGATAATTATAACAATTTCAAATTAAAGACAAAACTTCTACTTAATAGTTGTGATAAGACTGCTTTGATTCCCCAACCCTAAAAACTGTTTCAAAAGTTCTTAAAAACAATACACGCGATTGTTCCTCTAATCATAGTTGAATTTGAGACATGCCAGTTAGACAAGACATCACGTGAGAAAACTTTCTTTTCTACAAGCTATCTATCAAAAATTGTATAGAGTGGAAAGTTAAAAGCGTTTTGTTCAAGTGCTTTTATTTTGTTTGTTGTTGATTGTTAACAGACAAACTACATACTTTACCCTTATTTTTTTCCATGAACTTATTTCAAATAAAAAAGATTGACTAATTTTTATCAACTATTTCATTCGATAATTCAGTGTTTCTTTTGAACCTCGCTTTAGTGATAGTTATAAACTAATGATAGTCACAAAGCTTGAAATTATAGCTAAAAAATAATTAAAAATGAATAGTTTCTTTTTTAATTCTCAAAGAAACAGACACGATGAAAGCCTTAGAGAATGCAGTTGCTGTTCAGCGGGCTTTTATAACAAATTTTTATTCAGATATTTAATAATGTTGAATAGTTGGAAGATTGATGCTCAAATATTTGAACGAATAGTGTCTCAAATGTTTTATATTTTTATGGGTTGTTCAAAACTTGGGTTGGTCAAAACTTGGTAGAGAAGCAAAGTAGATAGACCAAAGTAAGACGATGCAATAAGCAATAAGAATAAAATACCATAAGAAATTTTTTTTTATCTGTTTACTGAAATTTTGAGTTTGATGACAATAAGTTTCATCATTGACATTCAAAATTATATACCTTGAAAGGCCTTGAGGTATTTATAAAGTCAAAGTCTTAACAGGAATATCAAATTTGTAGTTTCCTGTTTTTGTACAGAATAAAGTCATCATCATCAGATCAAAAGCGAGATCGTCAAATCTGATTCTCTATAAATGCATTAAGTTTTCTGATCGTCGATTCAACACTAAATTCAAAATCTACACGTTAATAACACATTGAAGAGAAAAATATAAAAATTTCCTGAAGAGTTCTTTGATTAAGTTTATATTAGTTGAAATATTATGAAAGCTATAGTTGAAAGGTATTGAAATATCCATGTATGTATAATATTGCAAATGTTACTTTATTTTTAATTTATCTCTCTGTAAACAGGAAACTTAAAGAAAAAATAATTTTATAAAATTAGATAGTGCCAGTATTTAATTAGGCGAATCCAGGTCCATTGTCCGTTCTGAAGTTATAGAAATTTTAGATTTTCATTTCTTAATTTGGAACTAAGTGTTCAGTTCCATCTAATGCGACCTTTTTGTATTTTGGAACACGTGTAGTTGACGGACGAATTACAGTTGGATATGTAGCTGTGTTGGTATTGTTTACGTATCCTGAAATGAAACAATTTTTTTCAATCAGTCCCATTTTTCCTAAACATTTTGTACTGTTTGAAGTGACGTTTACCTAATGTGAAACCGTACACAAAACTAGGGCGTGGGTGCGATCTAGTGGGTCCGGTCCAGGGTATTCTTGTTGTTGGGGGTTTAGTTTCCAACGGCAAGTATGGGGGACCCGGGGTAGTTATTTTAGTTGTTTTAGTCGTAGGAGGATTAAAGGTTCTAGTTCTAGGAGTTGTCTTTCTGGAAGTTGTAACTGTCGGAGTGGTAAAAGTTCTAGGAGTTGTCTTTCTAGTAGTTGTAACTGTGGGAGTTGTCTTTCTGGAAGTTGTAACTGTCGGAGTGGTAAAAGTTGTAGGAGTTGTCTTTCTAGTAGTTGTAACTGTGGGAGTTGTCTTTCTGGAAGTTGTAACTGTCGGAGTGGGAAAAGTTCTAGGAGTTCTAGTTGTTATTCTTGAAGTTGTTGTTCTAGGATATGTAGTAGTTCTGGGAGTTGTCCGTATGAACGGTGTTGTTCCACAAGTTGGGACTGTGCCACATTTTGGACAGTCTTTTGTAGGACAAGTAGGACATTCTTTCTTTTCACATTTCAACTGTATATCACAACGCCCATCAAGTAAATCTAGAAACTCTAATGAACTTTCTAAGGCTTTTGGATTTGAGGCAAATTGCTTATCAGTTGAGAGTTTATCGAAAACCTTTTTATCAACTTTTTGTGTGAAAACATCTGCCCCATTGAAAGATTCATCGTACGTATAAAAAGTTATGCTGCGTAATCCAGGAACTGCTTGTCGCACTGAACGAACAAAAAATATTCATTTACTAATAACATAAAAAATAGTTTTCACTGCAAAAAATCTTACAAGAAGCTTTTCCTAGCAAGACATAAATTGAAATTACCAGGAAAAAAATCAAACTTTTCTTAAAAAAACTCATAATACTGAAGATCACTAAAAACTTTAATCTTTGTGCTTCGTTTAACTTCCGAACACCTCGAGAGTTGAATTCAGAATAAAGATATTTAAACTTTTATGGCGAGACTAGGTGTACAAAAAGTATCATCCTTTATATATCAGGTCTCTACTTAGAAGAACGATATTCAAACTTATATCATGAGACAAGCAATAATATCTTTTATNTATTGCAAATGTTACTTTATTTTTAATTTATCTCTCTGTAAACAGGAAACTTAAAGAAAAAAATAATTTTATAAAATTAGATAGTGCCAGTAATTAGGCGAATCCAGGTCCATTGTCCGTTCTGAAGTTATAGAAATTTTAGATTTTCATTTCTTAATTTGGAACAAAGTTTTCAGTTCCATTTAATGCGACCCTTTTGTATTTTGGAACACGTGTAGTTGGCGGACGAGTTACAGTTGGATATGTAGCTGTGTTGGTATAGTTTAAGTATCCTGAAATGAAACAATTTTTTTTAATATCAGTCCCATTTTTCCTAAACATTTTGTACTGTTTGAAGTGACGTTTACCTAATGTGAAACCGTACACAAAACTAGGGCGTGGGTGCGATCTAGTGGGTCCGGTCCAGGGTATTCTTGTTGTTGGGGGTTTAGTTTCCAATGGCAAGTATGGGGGACCCGGGGTAGTTATTTTATGTGATTTAGTCATAGGAGGATTAAAGGTTGTAGTTATAGGATATGTAGTACTTCTGGGAGTTGTAATTGTAGGAGTTCTAGTTGTTATTCTTGAAGTTGTTGATCTTATACGAGATGTAGTACTTCTGGGAGTTGTAATTGTAGGAGTTCTAGTTGTTATTCTTGAAGTTGTTGTTCTACGAGATGTAGTAGTTCTGGGAGATGTAGTACTTCTGGGTATGAACGGTGTTGTTCCACAAGTTGGGACTGTGCCACAAGTTGGACAGTCTTTTATAGGACAAGTAGGACATTCTTTCTTTTCACATTTCAACTGTATATCACAACGCCCATCAAGTAAATCTAGAAACTCTAATGAACTTTCTAAGGCTTTTGGATTTGAGGCAAATTGCTTATCAGTTGAGAGTTTATCGAAAACCTTTTTATCAACTTTTTGTGTGAAAACATCTGCCCCATTGAAAGATTCATCGTACGTATAAAAAGTTATGCTGCGTAATCCAGGAACTGCTTGTCGCACTGAACGAACAAAAAATATTCATTTACTAATAACATAAAAAATAGTTTTCACTGCAAAAAATCTTACAAGAAGCTTTTCCTAGCAAGACATAAATTGAAATTACCAGGAAAAAAATCAAACTTTTCTTAAAAAAACTCATAATACTGAAGATCACTAAAAACTTTAATCTTTGTGCTTCGTTTAACTTCCGAACACCTCGAGAGTTGAATTCAGAATAAAGATATTTAAACTTTTATGGCGAGACTAGGTGTACAAAAAAGTATCATCCTTTATATATCAGGTCTCTACTTAGAAGAACGACATTCAAACTTTTATCATGAGACAAGCAATAATATCTTTTATATTTCAGGTTCCTATTTACAATGAAGATATAAAAACTTTTGTCATGAGTTAAGATCAAAAACTATCATCTTATACATATACCTAATTCAGGTTCCGTTTAAAAACAGGTCTTATGCAAAAAAAAATCGGTTGCTGTAATAAACGTGTCGCCAAAATCCGAGATTCCTTGTCATTAGCATATCTTCAACGTTTTTCACACATTAACACACCTTCTCGGATGAGCATTAATTCGATTAACACATCCTCTCTGAATTTGAAAATATTTCTTTATACTAAATCTCGAGTCGAGATGGGACAATTTTAAGGATTTCACTTAGTTGTACAAAAATTAAAATTAACATAAAAATAATGTTTTTTAATCAAATTCTATAATAATTCAAGTAGAGTAGGAAAGTTAAAGTTCATAAAAAGTTTTATTATAAATAAATAAGTTTCTATAGTGTTTAGGAACTCAAAAATAAATTTGGGTTCATTAGCATAATTAGGCCAAAATCAAACATTCAATAAATTACGATGCATTGACTTTATTTTCTCTCTTACGAAAAGCACGTGTTCATTTGCCGGTTTTCTCAGAATATTTTTAAAAGAGAATAAACATAACTGAAATTAATGTTACGCTCTCTTATGTCGATATATCGGGGCACGCGGATTTTATCACAACTCGGTTAATGTTCAGTTTTCATTGAGAGCTTGCCGGTAAAAGACGCTCATCAAAAGGCGTTGTGCAAGAAAATATTTTTTTGTTGTTAATTATCACGAATTAGTGCAATTTTCAGTTCACAAAAGATGAATCATAAATCATTGAACATTTTAAATGAAGAATCATGTTTAGCAAAACATCAGTAAATAACTTTTCGTAATTTTTTATAAAAGTTAAAAAAAATGTGTTGAAATTCTGAGCTCTCTGTTGCTAAAAATAGATATTAATTGATTGCTGAGAACTTCTTAAGGTCAATTAGAATAATCATATTGAAAGGAATCGCATCATATTACGGAAGAGAAGTTTAACAAAATATATTTGAAATTAAAGGAATTTCACGACTTCAGATTTCAAGGCCATTTGAACGAAAATTGGAACTAGAAATATTGTCAATTTAAATCAAAATGGTAAGATGCATGCTGAAAAAATGAAAATAAATGTTAACACATATGATTCATGAATGATTTCATATATCTAATATAGATAAATATAAAGGGTGCACGAAGTGAAAAAAATCAATATTTCAATGTGGTAGTTTATCATAAAAGCAATTTCGAACATGAATGTGTTATTTAAAAAATAATTGTGTGTATTTAAGAACTATGATCATGGAATTTTTAATGTTCGTACATGTTAAACCTTCCTAGGCCATTCATCAATTATTCAAACATTGAACAGCCTCGCATGCATTGTTTTCAATCAGGGTAATAAAGAATGTTAAGAATGAAGAAGAAACATTTTTTAAGATTGACTTTCCATTAAATAAAATATTCATTTGTGATTCCCTGAAAGTTAACAATTTGAGAGGATTTGCTTTTTTATGCTGGTGCTTGAATTAATGCTTTTTGTTAGAAGAGAGGAAGATTGTGAGAGAGAATCGAATGTCACTATAGTGAAGTTCACATTTCGTTTTTAACTTTACCCCACGTGTTGATATGCACATTGTTGTAGAATCAACCGGTGGTTACATACATCATCATAAGTTTTAATATTTAATATTTAAATTAATGGTTTCGTAGATCATATTTATGTAATATCTGCATGGAAATAAATTGAGTGTTGTCATGCTCATTTTTTATTAAAAACAGAAATTGCTAAAATAATTTTTATGAACAATAAAAAAATATTAATTAAGGAGTAGCACACAAAAATTAAATCTTCTTTTCATATATCATGTCCAATCTTAAAAATCAACTTTTATTTCATTGCATACTTTGTAAAACAATAAGAAAAAAATTACATATTTCAAAGGTCTGCATAATTCATAATTTGATGACGCAACTCATGTCATGTCTGCGAATTCATTTACACTTTAATGTTAAAAAGCAAGCTTACGAAAATTGTCCGAAAGAATTTTTATATTTGAAATTAATAATCAAGTAACATAAGAAAACATTTTTATAACTGAGTTTTGTCAAGCTTGTATAGATAAATAATGAGTAATGAAGTTTAGTCGTGAACTGTACAAACATTAACATTGTTTACACATTTTTTGAATAATTCAGTAAAGACAGGAAATTGATTTATTTTCAGATGGCTCATCAAAGAAAGCAACTTGACACTTCTTTCATTCCTGATTTGTCCACACAATCCGATTCTCTAAATGAATATAGAAAGCAAGCCAAATTTGATTGGAAATTGTTGAAAGTCTACTTCGAAGGTGTTGATGGCTTGAAAGCCAAATACACAATTTGGAATCGTTTAGAGAAGGAACCACTTTTCCAAAGATCTTCTGTGACACCGTTAGTCGATGAACAAAAAAGAATTGCAGCAATGAGAATGAAGCGTGTTGCTGAAATTGGTTTCTTACCCGATGAAATTAAGAATTCTCCATATGAAAAGAGGGTAAAATAACTTAAAAACAATGTTATTATTGCAGTTATGAAAATATTTGTTTAATGTTTCAGTTGAAATATATGATGAGTCAAAACGAAGCATTTCATGCGTATTGCCCCAGCTTGTCAGTGAAAATGGCACTTGGTATTGGACTTTTCTGTAATGCTCTGATTGCTTTAGGAAGCGAACGTCATCGTCAGGTTTACAATGTTGCTATGAATGGAGAAGTAAATAAATTTAATTTTGATTCATTGTATCTTTTTAAAATTTAATAAAAACAATTTCAGATTGTTACTGCTATCGCGATTACAGAAGTAAGCCATGGAAGTAACACAAAGAGAGTTCGAACTTCTGTGATTTATGACAAACATTCCAAAGAATTTATTATTAACACTCCTGACTTTGAAGCTGCGAAATGTTGGATTGGAAATTTAAGCAAGACAGCTTCAGTGGTTTTGCTTTTTGCAAATCTTGTGACGTCTGATGGTGAAAATCAAGGTCTCCATGGTTTTCTGGTTCCAATTCGAGATCCGAAAACCTTGAAACCTTTCGACAATCTCATAATAGGAGATATCGGTGAGAAAATCGGATTGAATGGGATCGACAATGGCTTCATCATATTTCGCAATTATCGAATACCGAAAGAAAATCTTTTGAATCGAACTGGGGATGTTAATGAAGATGGAATATATGAAAGCGTTTTTAGTGAACCAAGCAAAATTCTTGGAGCAGCTTTAGAGTCATTATCCGCAGGTCGAATTGGCATTATGCATGAATCAACAAATACAATCTCTCATGCTGTTGTCATCGCTGTTCGCTACGCTGCAGTAAGAAAGCAATTTGGTCCAAGCAGAAATGGCAAAGAGACATCAATCATTGAATATCCATTACACCAATGGCGATTATTTCCTTATCTCGCTGCTGCATGTGTTCTCAAAGTCACCATTCATGAGCTTTCTGATGTTTACTTGCGAACGGTTGAAAAATCTCAAGCAGAATCAAATGGATTTGAATTACTTACACAAATTGTTTCAGAACTTCATGCTTTGATTTGTGCTTCAAAAGCAATGTTCACATGGGTAGCTCGTGATGCTATTCAAGAAGCGCGAGAATGTTGCGGTGGTCATGGATACTTGAAATCTTCAAATATCGGAGAGTTAAGAAATAATCATGACGCAACATTGACCTATGAAGGTGACAACAACGTTTTGGGGCAACAAGCATCAAATTGGCTTTTGAAACAATGGAATGGAATTGTCGAATCACCCGTTGGAACATTGAATTTTCTTAATCAAAAACATATAATTATGGAAACTTTCAATTTTCAAAAATTCATGGAAGACCGATTGGAAACTTTTGACTTCATTTTGAGATGCTATGAGTGGCTTTTGTGTTATTTATTAAAGATTACAACGGAACAAATAAATGAATTAAAAATAGCGGGAGCGAACAATTTCACAGCTAAAAACAGCTCACAAGTATACAAAGCTCGAAACTTGACACTTGCATTTGCTGAATATTATGCTTTGGTGTCATTTAAAAAGAAATTTGAATCGTCTCAAACATCGGAAGATCTGAAATCAATTTTACTTATGTTGTTTTCAATTTACGGATTTTGGAATCTCGATAAACATCTTGTAACATTCTATATCGGAGGTTTTGCTAAAGGATCAGAATTTTCCGATTATGTTAGAACAAATTTGATAAAAACTTGTGAAGAAATGAGAACCTCGAGTGTTGCAGTAGCAGATGCACTAAGCCCACCTGATTTCATTCTGAATTCAACTATTGGAAAATCTGATGGAAACGTGAGTAATTTCAAAATGTTCAAATTAATTAAACTCTTATTTATTCTTTTCTTTAGCTCTATAATAATCTCAAAGAAGAATTCTTGCATAATTGTCGATCAATGAACGTTCCCATCCAATCAAAATTGTGAATTTTAGGAATAATCTCAATTTCACTCATAAAGTACCTATTTCATTTAACAAGAGAGAAAACGAATCTTCTTAAACAAGCGTTTAGAAAAATATGTTTTTGAGTATTTATGTAATAGACCACAAATACATAATAAATGGTTATTTTTTAACGGAAGAATGAAATTTAAATTTTCATACGCCTTAAATTTCAAACTAATGATTTTTAGTACAAAATAAGTACAAACGATTGTAAACATTCAACTTTCTCCGAATATAAAAATACTATTTTAATTCAATTATCACTCATATACCGTTCTATAAAGACGCAATTAAATGGGATCATCAAAAAAACATAAGAGAGATCGTGAAACATCATCAAAACGTAAAAGTCGTTCACGATCTCGTTCAAGAAGTAATGAAAATCGAGATAGGAAAAAATCAAAGAAACAGCATCGCGATAAAGATAAAGAGAGAAGACAGCTAAGAAGTCGAAGAAGTCCAGATGTAGAAAAAGCGTATCATAGCGACAGTAAGTATAATAAATGTTGAAATTAACTTCCATCTAAATGAAATTTTTATTCTAATTTCAGGTTCAGATGTTGTTGAAGTTCCAATCGCTCCAGAACCTCCGGTTATATCTAAACCAAATAAAGCTTCACGTTCACCATCTCCAGTTCCGGCGGAAGGTGCAGGCGATGTCCTTTCAATAGATGAGACGAATAAACTGCGTGCTAAACTCGGTCTGAAGCCGCTTGAAGTTGGACCAACGGTTACTGCACCTGCAAGTAGCAGAAATGATGACATCGAAGAGAAAGATGAAGCTACAGCTGATCTTAAGAAAGTCAAAGATGACTGGGGTGAATTTTATCATAAACCTGCAGGTCAATTCAACGAAAAATCTGAAGTTGAGCAGTTACGTGAAAAAATTCAAGCGAAGCGAGAAAAAAGAAAAATTGAACAAAAGTTAGCTCAATTTAAAACGCTTGGTTTCAACTCTGATTCTGATGATGAAGCTTCTAAATGGGTTGAAAAGAATCGAAAGATTGCAGAAGAGAAAAAGAAAGCTGCACAACGTGCAAAAATGCAGGAAGAAATGGATCAGCAAATGGAGGAAAATCCAGTAGAATTGCGTCGTCGTGAGGCTAAGAAACGAAGTTATAAGGAACGTGACTTAAAAGGATTGAAAGTTGGTCATGACATTGAGAGTTTCACAGAGGATCGACAAGTTATTCTCACGTTAAAGGATCAGGAAGTGCTTGGTGAAGAAGACGATACTTTAATAAACGTTAACATGGTTGACGATGAACGATACAAGAAGAATGTCGAGGTGAGAAAGCAAAATCCACTTCATTACGGATACGATGTTTATGAAGATCAATACGATGAATTTGGCAATTACATCAATCGAAGTGTTCTTGGTAAATATGATGATGAAATTGAAGGAAATAAAAGCACAACATTCACACTTGGCGAAAGCAGAGAATTGATTCAAGAGCAACAAAGGAAAGCACTCGAAATTAAAGCAAAACTGCAAAATAAAAAGTTGGAAAGTCTCAATCTTGAGCCTTTGAAACTTGCAAGCGATCATTACTCATCGGAAGAGCTCACAAAGTTCAAGAAGCCCAAAAAGAAAGTTAAGAAAATTCGTCAAAAATTGAAAGCTGATGATTTACTTGAAATCGTTGGTGATGCTACTGAAAAGCAGAAAGATTTAGGAAGTCGCAGAAATAGAGAAAGAGAAAATGTTGCAACCGATGATACTCCAGCAATTCCTGAAGATGCCTCAGGATTAAAAGTTGAAATCGAAGATGACGAATTGGAACATGTTTTGAACAAAGCCAGACGATTGAAGCAGAAAGAAAATATAATTAAAAAACAAGACATTCTTAATGAAGCAATTAAGATCGAAGTAAAAGCAGAACCAGAAGGAAAAGAAGAAGGAGAAGACGAAGAAATTGGGGCTTATCGTGAAAGAGAGAATGGTTTCATTACACTCAATCAAACTGCTGAGTTTTGTAGAACTTTAGGAGATATTCCAACTTATGGCATGGCAGGAAATCGCGATGATAATGTTGACATTATGGATGTTGATGAAAACTCTGGTAACGAAGATGATGAAGAACGTCGACGTGGTAAATGGAATACTGTGAATCCCAATGATGACCCTAAACTTATGGAAGGCATACAAGCAACCGATCCCGAAGACACAGCAATTCTAGATGAAGAACCTGACGTTGCAAGCGGAGTTGCTGCTGCTTTACAACTCGCAATGTCAAAAGGATATATCGAAAAAGAAGAAAGTAATCGTCCTAGTAATACACGATTTGCTCACTTACAAGCGCAGCATTATTCAATCGATGACAAAGCGCATGGCGAAGATGACAAATATGCAAGACGAGGTGGAGCAAGTGAAAGATTTAATGGACCAACAACAGATTTCCGAGAAAAATCTGGTTACAAGCCAAACGTTAAGTTAGAGTACATTGATGATAACAATCAAAAGTTGACACCGAAAGAAGCTTTCAGATATTTATCACATAAATTTCATGGCAAAGGTCCTGGCAAGAATAAGATCGAAAAAAGACTGAAGAAATTGGAGCAGGAAGGGGTAAGTTCAATTTAAGTTTAATTTATTTATCCACTGTAATGATAACTTTAAAATGATTTTTATTTTAGTTAATGAAGAAGATGTCTTCGTCAGATACTCCACTCAATACTTTGAACATGTTACAACAGAAACAGAAAGAAACCCAGAGCGCTTACGTTGTTTTAAGTGGCAATAAATCTGCTCAAATTGGCAAGAACAAGAGATAAGCTATCGAATAGATTTAATTTAACTGTGCATTAAATATTTAAGAAATAGATAAACACTTAAAAGCAAATTCTTATTGAAATCTTTAAAATTAAAAAATAACCGTCATGGCAATTTTAAACATTAGTATGGGGCATACAAGAAAAATCTAAGTAGACAGTTGTAGACTCTTCATGTTATTGTGAACAAGATTTCGATCAGTCTGAAAAATTTTCTATTTCATAATATTGGAAATGTGACATTGATACAAAAAAATCTTTCACTGAATCTTTTATAAATCATTCTACTTTTTAGTGAAAGTTCAAATAAAATCATAATGCATTTACGACATAAGTTACCTTGGGATGATTTAGTGTTTTGTTTACGAATCGATCCGTCTACTATTAATTTACCGATTGGAGAATGTGGAAGGATTCACATGATTGATAAAGCAACTAAAATTAAAGTCAAAAATAGGAATTACATTTCAAATGAAGATATATGTACTGCTCAGGACTGCAAAAAAGTGGAATCATACAAAAGTTTCTCAAAGAATAAAGTTTCACATCCGATAATTACAACAAGTGGATTCAGAACACCACGCAACGAAGACGTTGAACGAAAACTGAAATATTTTAACGAAAAGTTCTACGAAGCAATACTTGAATTCGTCGAGACTGAAGAGAAAAAGTATTCAGAGGAGAATATTCGAAATTTTCGTCCCAGAGAATCTTTCCAAGGTATTCCAACTGATTGTGAAGAAAGTGATTGGAATTATTTAAAAAATAGTTTCTATAATAATAATAATGATTTCATGGTATTCTACTTATATTCAAACTATCGTATTGATCATCTTTTATGGCTTGAACAGAAAGGCGAATTGAATATTTCAGAAGCGCTTAGCAAAACTTACGGAGGACAAGCAGTTGGAAATGGTTACAATTTTCTCGTTATTTACCATCTTCTTCCATTTTATTTACTAACAAATGCCATAATTGCTTGTGGATATGAATCAGACTACAAGAAATGGGGGAGACTTGATCCAGACTGTCATTTCCTGCAACGACTGATGTACGATTGCGATTTTTTGACTTTCATCCCTTCTTTAAGGCCGTTTCTACATAAAGATGTTTTTATAAAAGATGCTACCAAAACTAATGAATTGCTAAAGATTATATTTAGGAACATTTATTTGTTTGTTTTCCTTAAAAGAAAGTTCTGCTCATACGACGATGAAGCATTTCGTAATGACTTCAAAGCAAGTCGTTGGTTCAGTTTTAAATAAAAAAATGATTGAAATCCTTGTAAACTTATTTATTTCGTCTTCAAATTGAAATCAAAAACAATTTTTATAATTGTGTCAAACGAAAAAGAAATTGAAAATAAATGCAGCAAAAACAATCAAAACGAAATTGAATTTAAGTGAATCAGCTCGTGCTTTCTGTCCTAGAATAGTTTCCTTCATTTCACAACTACCATAAGGCATTTGAGTTCCTTTAATTATAAGTTCATCATTTTGCTTGAATTTTATTTCACTGCCAACCGAAGGAATAATTTCATTATTGACGGACTTCAATGTCACTCTGATTGGATGATCACGATCGAGTTCAACGACTTTTAGAACAGCTTCATCATCAGTAATAGTCAACTTGAATCGATTGTTTAGGTAAGTTATTCCATTGAATTCAAGTGATGAAGAAGATGGTGGAACGTAAAAGTTTCCAATTGTCATTCTGTCGAAGTGTAAACGAACACCGCCATAGCCATTAATTATTGATTGTAAAAATCCACCAGCGCCAGTGATGAAATTTCCAGCACCGTCCACTCCCTGGATAACTTCACTCCAAACTTTAAATGGTTCTCTCGAGTACACTTCATAACTTCTCTCGAAAACTTTACCTGCCTCTGCTGTGTTGTGAAGATCTAAGAAGCCAATCGTGTGCATGGCCCATGTCATTGCGGGACCTGATTCTCTCGTGACGCTGTCATAAGTTATCAAGTTGTTTTCCTTGGTTGAACTTTTTAATAAACAACATCGAATGAAAATTATTATTACACATTTAATGAAAGAACTTACGCATCCATTGGGAGTTGAAGTGGGAATCCCAAAAGAACAACATCGGCTTGTTTAATCAACGTTCCCTCTTCATATCCTTCATATTGTGGATGATAATCTTTCTCTTCGTCATAGAGAAGTGCAAGACTTCTTGCCATCTTGGCAAAGTTCTCATAATCAGCATCAGTCACTCTCAAAACATCTTTGCAGGCACATCCAGCAAATTCACCAAAGTACAAGTTTATGGCTGCGTTGACATTTGTGTATCCATTATTGTCGATGTCTTCATGATCTTCGTCAGGTCCCATGACATCTATTAACAGATAAATGTTTATCAATCAACATGAAAATGAAATAAAATCTTACTGCGAATGTCATAAAATTGTGTCGTTTCATTAAACTTCACTCTCGACTCCCAGAACTTTGCAGTGTTCCATGCAATTTCACATCCAACACTTTTGAACCATTCAACGTCGTGTGTTGCTGCCAGATGTGAACGGAATGCAAATGCAATGTCAGCAATAACGTGATGTTGATATTCAACCACTTCAGGACAACAATCTGGTGTGACTTCACGACCAGTAAAGGCGGATTCCCAAGGATATCGATAACCTTGATAACCAGTGTTCATGGCATTGTCAGCAGCGGCTTTTCGTGTGTGATGACGATAGCTTAAAATATCTTTGCTCCATTGGGGGTTGAGAAGCAAGACTGGTGGATGCATCCACATTTCAGTATCCCAAAATGAATGTCCCTGGTAATCTTGGTACAAGATTCCACCTTTGGCTAAGCCGCCAGGACTCAAACCATAAAAAACGCCGTTCGGTTGATTTGTTTCTTCAGATGGCAAGTTGGAAATCAAATAAAATATGCTGGCATGAATTATTTGATTCAATTTCATATTTCCAGTGACGGAAATTCCAAACTTTTCCCAATGAGTTTCCCATTCAGCTATATGTCGATTGAAAATTGCTGTATTGTCGATTTCTGCCATGAACATGTCTTGAATTTCTTTTTTAACTTCAGCTTCAGTTGATCCCACTGCAGTAACATGAATGTACTCAACTCTTCTAACAGTCGATGGAAGTTCCAATTTTGAAGGGAAATTCGTGTGTGCGACACAAACTTGTGAATTTTGTTTCTGATAATTTGAGTCTTCAACAACATTTGTTTCAAAGCATCGAATGGTGATGTCACGTTGAGCTACTCGATCAAGTTTAGCTTCTCCAATTTGTGTTAAATCAACTCCAGGGATATCTCCCGGATTCACAAACAAGTTGACTGAATATTGAGATGTTCCCTCTAGTCGTTCTAAAACGACTCGATTAACTATCGCTCTGTTATAAAACCGATGGGCATAAGTTTGTTGTACAATCTGATAACTAGTTCCACTGGTGATCTTCTTCTCAAAATATCCATGCCTCATATTCAACCGATACTCACAAATCTTTTGGGAACATGTCTCATCAACAACTAATGTTGAAAAGTTTGGAATTCTTGCACGATGTGATTCACCTCTTTCGCCGTTGTATAATCCATTCATGAGAATAGAATCTCCTTCAACAACATATCCAACATGCCCATTGCTAAGGCTTGGAATGTCACTTGGAATTGGTAATTCAGGTGATCCAACTATCCAATCATTTTCTTCAATTATTACTTCTGGTTCAGAAGCTTTAACTCCAACAACAGTTTCTTTCACTTCACATGTTCCAAAAGGATTTTCTACAGGTTCCAGAACAAGCTCCTGATCACGGTTGAATGTTATTGACCATCCAACATTAATCACCTCATCAACTTTTTCAGTGTTCTTCAATGTCGCTTTTATTCTTCTTAAAGGATTAACTTCTAAGAAGGTAACTGTTGCATCTGTTCCAACAATTATCAAATTGAATCGATTGTTTAAGTAAGTTATTCCATTGAATTCAAGTGATGAAGAAGATGGTGGAACGTAAAAGTTTCCAATTGTCATTCTGTCGAAGTGTAAACGAACACCGCCATAGCCATTAATTATTGATTGTAAAAATCCACCAGCGCCAGTGATGAAATTTCCAGCACCGTCCACTCCCTGGATAACTTCACTCCAAACTTTAAATGGTTCTCTCGAGTACACTTCATAACTTCTCTCGAAAACTTTACCTGCCTCTGCTGTGTTGTGAAGATCTAAAAAGCCAATCGTGTGCATGGCCCATGTCATTGCGGGACCTGATTCTCTCGTGACGCTGTCATAAGTTATCAAGTTGTTTTCCTTGGTTGAACTTTTTAATAAACAACATCGAATGAAAATTATTATTACACATTTAATGAAAGAACTTACGCATCCATTGGGAGTTGAAGTGGGAATCCCAAAAGAACAACATCGGCTTGTTTAATCAACGTTCCCTCTTCATATCCTTCATATTGTGGATGATAATCTTTCTCTTCGTCATAGAGAAGTGCAAGACTTCTTGCCATCTTGGCAAAGTTCTCATAATCAGCATCAGTCACTCTCAAAACATCTTTGCAAGCACATCCAGCAAATTCACCAAAGTACAAGTTTATGGCTGCGTTGACATTTGTGTATCCATTATTGTCGATGTCTTCATGATCTTCGTCAGGTCCCATGACATCTATTAACAGATAAATGTTTATCAATCAACATGAAAATGAAATAAAATCTTACTGCGAATGTCATAAAATTGTGTCGTTTCATTAAACTTCACTCTCGACTCCCAGAACTTTGCAGTGTTCCATGCAATTTCACATCCAACACTTTTGAACCATTCAACGTCGTGTGTTGCTGCCAGATGTGAACGGAATGCAAATGCAATGTCAGCAATAACGTGATGTTGATATTCAACTACATCAGGACAACAATCTGGTGTGACTTCACGACCAGTAAAGGCGGATTCCCAAGGATATCGGTAACCTTGATAACCAGTGTTCATGGCATTGTCATCAGCGGCTTTTCGTGTGTGATGACGATAGCTTAAAATATCTTTACTCCATTGGGGATTGAGAAGCAAGACTGGTGGATGCATCCACATTTCAGTATCCCAAAATGAATGTCCCTGGTAATCTTGGTACAAGATTCCACCTTTGGCTAAGCCGCCAGGACTCAAACCATAAAAAACGCCGTTCGGTTGATTTGTTTCTTCAGATGGCAAGTTGGAAATCAAATAAAATATGCTGGCATGAATAATTTCATTTAGTTTCGTATTTCCAGTAACGGAAATTCCAAACTTCTCCCAATGAGCTTCCCATACGGATGAATGTCTTATAAAAAGTGAAGATTCATTCATTATGACATCTTCCATTTCTTTGGAAACTTCTTCTAAAGTAGTTCCAACAGTTGTTATGTGCATGTATTCAACAATATTCCCAGTTGAAGGGATTGTTAAAGTTGGTGGTGGATTTGTATGTGCTATGCAAACTTTTGACCTCAATGGTTGATAAATTGAATCTTCGACTAAGTTCGTTTGATAGCATCTGATTGTGACATCTCGACCAGCAATATTGGAAGTAACAATTTGTTCATCAGTTAAATCAATGCTTTGAGTATCACCAGCATTGACTGAAAGGTTCACAATGACATCGTTGCTTCCCGATTGTCGTTCAGCAATAAATTTATTTATGATTGCTCGATTATAAAAGCGATGTGCGTAAATTTGTTGCACAACTTGATGTGAAGTTCCAGATGTGAATGTTGCTTCAAAATATCCTTGATTCAAATTCATCTTGTAATTGCAATTGCTGTCACTGCATTGAATATCTGTCACGACATTAGAATAATTAGGAATTCTCGCTCGATGTGATTCACCGCGAATTCCATTATATAATCCATTCATCAGTATTGCATCACCATAGATAACAAATCCAACGTGTCCATTACTTAATGTTGGAATCTCACTTGGAATTGGCAATCTTATCAAGAGTATAATACAAGCAATTAACAAAAAATTAAAAAGAAATTGCAATGATAAAGAGCATTTGGCAATAAGAGAATTTTTTTTATACAGTGGACTCTTGTTATAATTTATAACCAAGGCTGAAGGACCGCGTTGTATCCAGTAAATATTCCGTAAAATTACTTTTAAAGGAAGACAAAAAAATTCTTGCTATAGAAAATTTATGTATCTACTTTCAAGAGAGTTCACTGTATTAATTTCAAGTGCTTTAATTAAGATTAGATTAATAAATTCCTTTTTAAGGAAGAATAATACCATCAGTCGCCACTTGTAACTTTATTTAAATCTTTTTATCAAAAATACCTAATTATGGAATCTCATTAGTTAAAATAATTTAATTCAAGCTCGTTTCTCATTTTTATTTCATTAAAAATAAATTAAATTTACGCTTTTTAAGGAACTTTAATTGCGTAACTATTTTCATATCAAATATTTCCATTTGCTTTCAAGAATTTCTTACACATTTGATTCAAAAATTATGTCATCTCCATGAACTCTCGCAGCATAAACTGTGATGCAAAGAAATAAACAAATTTTATAACTAAACATCTTATAAAATTCTTTTTTGTCACAACAACACTTTTCTTTGTTTTATTTTCGTTTACTTAAGTCAATAATCAAAAATATTTGAACAACTGAATAGGCAAGCAAATAGTCGATTGAATTTATACTTATTTTTGGAGAGTTTAGATAAAACATTAATCAATCAATAAAATTTTTAAAACTGCTGACAGTTAATAGCACATTATTAGGTGTTATCAAAACGGCCAAGTGTAAGTATCCACTTGAGAAATTATTCAATTAGAAACATAGGAAAACTCCCCAAATTGGAATTTAAAAGAAGAATTACTCGGAATTATCTAACAAGATGCATGCAAATGTAAAAACGTTTAGCCGAGAGTGGAGTTAATTTACACATCATTTAGCTGTCATTGAAGATTGCTTAAGAATATTTTTCAACATGAGATCATACTCAAACATTGTAGTGTCATTTACTTTCTTTAAACAATTGTAAATATCACGTTCAAAAGCCCTTCCAATTTGTCATGTTGAGTGTAAATAAATAAGTAAACAAAAGTGCGACTTTTATCTAGACTTGTTTTATTCTTTTTATTAAAATGTCAACTTGAATTTTGCGACGTTAGTCATATTATGAGTAATCAGAACTTAATCTGAATGTGATTATCAATGCTTGACAGATAAATTATCATAGCTTCATTTGCACTTGCAGATAAGACAGAAAAGTTTCATTTAAATTTCCAGTTGATGCTGAGTTTTCATCCATTTCAGCTTCGAAGCTCAAAATGTCTCGAAATTTTGAAATTGCCACAATCAAGCCTAATCATGAGATGGCAGAACATCATTATGGGAAAAGTGGAGTTAAAGTTCTTCATGTAGTCAGAAATGGTTTGGTGTACAGTGTAAAGGAATTCGAAGTGACGACGTTCTTAACATTGTCAAGTCAGAAAGATTACTTAAAAGGTGACAATTCGGACATCATTGCTACTGATTCCCAGAAAAATACGGTTTATATTCTCGCCAAGAAATATGGAGTTAAATCACCAGAAGATTTTGCAATTCTTCTATCCAAGCACTTCTTGTCAACATACAATCATGTAACAAAAGTTGCAGTTGGAGTGGAAGAATTAACATGGAATAGAATCACATATGACGATCGTGGCGATTCTCAAAAACAACATAATCATGCATTTATTCATGTCCCATCGTGTAAAAGGTTTACCAATGTGACATTGCAACGTGGAGGTGAGTTTAATATTGAAACTTTTCATAACTCTTCATATTAAAATGTTATCATTAAAGAGAAAAGTGCGACAGTTGTCAGCGGCATGAAAGACATGCGATTGCTGAAAACCACTCAAAGTTCGTTTGTTAACTTTGTTGATGATGCTTATCGAACTCTTCCAGATGCAAGTGACAGAATCTTCAGGTAAAGTTAATTGATTTGCTATCTAAGATGAAAGTTTCATAATTTTCTACTTAGCACTGTTGTTAATTGTTCTTGGGAATATTCAAAAGATTGTCAAGTTGACTATGACAAAGGATGGGATTTAGTCAAAAATTGCATCCTTTACAACTTTGCTGGTGATTTGGGTCGTGGCGTTCCTTCGCCAAGTGTTCAACACACTTTGTATCTTGCTGAAAAGGAAGTTCTTGAAAAAGTTGGAGATATAAAATCAATTGAAATGACTTTACCAAATAAGCATTACGTAAATTTTGATTTTGGAAAGTTTAAAGATCTTGTAAAGATATCTGGTGAAGAAACAGTTTTTCTACCTTTGGATAAACCATCTGGCATTATATATTTGAAATTAAGTAGAAAAGTTAATAAGTTATAACGGGTAATGATGGAAGATCTTTCATTCGTAAAGCTTTTTTGTATCTACACAGTATTTAGATGAATGAAATCATTGAAAGGGTCATAAGCTGGTTTTATATTTGTCACGATGTTATTTGTGATGTCATCTGCAAAGTCAAATAATCAATAAATTAAATTCAAAGCAATTAGAAAAATGATATTTCATTACATGACACATTCACTGTTACCAACTTTGTTTCATCATCATGAGATTCCAAAATCAGTTTGTCATGGACTTCAACAAATCTGAGAGATTTCGAATGACCCGAAACTTCAATTTCAAACTTTGACTTCATGTAAGAAAATCCTTCAACTCTGAGTCTTGTGCAATTCTGAGGGAGTCTTGGATTTCTAATTTCAAAGTGGTCGAGATGCACTCGAATTCCTAGAAATCCATTAAAAATAGTTTGAAGGAACCCTCCAGCTCCAGTGATAAAATTGGTGGCTCCAATCTCACCAGGCTCCACTTCACTCCACACATTAAATGGACGCCTTATGAATGTTTTATAACCTTTCAAAAGCATCTCATTGGCTTTAACTTCATCATTTATGTCGAGAAAGTTGATGGCAGTCATTGAGTAACTCATTGCAGGTCCACTGCTTCTTGTAACATTTTCATAGAACTTCAAATCGTTAACTCTTGTTGAATAATTCATGGGAAACATTAACGGATAACCGATTAAGATGGCATCAGCCTGCTTAATCTCTGTTCCAATTTTATAACCTTCATATTGTGGATGATAATCAAGAAGATCGTCGTAAATAATTTTTATCTTTGACATCATTTGAAGTAAATCAACATCAGGACTTTGTTTTCCACACAAATATTTGGAAAATCTGAAAGTTTACAATTATTTGAGATCATTACTCGTCACACTAAGTAGGTAAAACTTAATCTGAAGGAAAATAAATGTTAAGCTATAAAATTACCGTTTAAATCATTTAGTTCTTGTCAGTGCGTTTACTTTCTGAAATCTCAGATAAAAATGTTACAAGATATCATGAGAAAATCAGTTGAAAAGTCGGTAAGAAATGGAATGGAATATCATGTCATTTCAATTGTCAATTGCCCGTTTTGTTGCGATACCGACCACCAATTTACTCTCCCTATCTATCATTCAAATTATACCAATTATTTCATATTATTTTACCATTTTTCTAAAACAACTTCAACTCATTTTTTAGATGTTTAACAAACAAAAGATCTTCGTCTGACATAGCAGAAGAGTGCCGTGCGACAAACACGACAAATTACCGAGTGTCAACATTTTCACATGAAATCTCGCTCTCTGTTCTTTTATTTCAATTGTCTTGTAGTCTCGAATGTTCGTTTTGCTTTGCATAAACGCGACGGTAATTTTATTTTTATTTTTAGAAAATTATGATGTTAGAAAAATTGGTTTCGTTTTTTTTGTGTGCTTAATTTTTGAGTTACGCGGCGCTTCTTATTGTTAAGATGTAATTAGGAATCGAAACTTACAAGCCGAACTCCAGAGCGTATTTAGCAACAACGTTTGTGTAGACGTTATTATTAACATCGCTGTGATCTTCGTCAGGGCCCATAACATGGTTGATGTCATAGAACCCAGTAGAGTCATTGAATGTGACGCGACTCGCCCAGAATTCTGCGATATTCAATGCCAACTGACATCCTTCAGACATCATGAATTCGATGTCGTGAGTTAAAGAGAAATAGTGACGAAGGCTGAAGCTGATGTCACCGCTGATGTGTTGTTGATATTCGGCAATGTATTCATAACCAGGCTGGATAACTTCAATTCCTGTCGCCGCTGATTCCCATGGAAATCTGCATTGTGTAACGAAACGGTTCAATCAGAAACACAAATAAAGAAAGAAAAAATCAATTGATTGATAGTCGATTTAACAATCACGATCTTATTGCTTTCTCATCGATTACCTCGCTCCCCGATAGCCGCCAGCATTTGCATTATTTTTCGCTGCATTTAACATCATAAACCGATACTCGATAAGTTTTTTCGCCCAGTTTGGATTGATCAAAGCGACAGGCGGGAGCATAAACATTTCGGTATCCCAGAAGTTGTGACCTTCATAATCATTCAAATTGCTTCCACCACGTCCCAATCCCGTTGGACTGAGACCATAGAAAGGATGTTGTGGTAAGTTTGTAATCACCGATGGTAAACTCGATGTTAAATAAAATATGCTGGAAGTTATTGCGCGAAGCTAGACACCAAAAAAACATAATTTATGAATGGAAAACATATGATAACCACATGTCGGAAAACGTAAAAGAAAACTTTTTCTTTCCACTCACCAATTCATCATCTCCATCAACATCAATTTGAAAATCTTTCCAAAATTTCTTCCAAACATTTTTGTGGCTTTCAAAAAGTTCATCGTCGCTGATCCGAAAAACTGAAAACGAGAATAAATCAATTAAGATTCGCGTGGAAAATGTTTGACGCAATGAAGACGTTTTATTTATTCGCGGTGCTCTGAACATTTACATTTTTAATGAGACGAATTTTTTCTTGCATAATTAAAAAGGTAAAAATCAGTCCCAAATGATTCGCGATGTGGAACATGAAGAAAAGTTGAAATAACTTTCAAAGAATAATCTTTGAACTATCAAATGAATGAATCATGTAAACTTCACATTACCATCCATCATTTCCTGCCTGACATCAGCCGCTTGTGTATCAACAGCCATTACAAATTTATAAGAAATTGAGGATAAAGTTTGGTAGAGTGTGATTTCTTCTGGAACGTGATTCCATAAAACACAAACATCTTCTTCTTGTCGTGGTGGTTCCTCTCCACTTATTTCATCCTCGTTATACTCGTTTCGTTCGTTTCCACCATTCTCCAGTTCCCTTATACGACCACAAAGCATATAAAGTCGAATACCATCGAAATCAATTGTTTCATTTTTGGTAAATTCCAGATCATCTTTCTCGACGGCATTCAGTGTTGATCGAGAATTTTTATTGTTGACGTTTTTGGTCTTATTGTTGGAAAAATTATTGCTTTTAACGTCATTAACGGACCTTTCATTTCTTGATCGCTGTGCCGTCTTTACTTTTGTTAGTGCTTCATCGTTTCCGGGATTTTTATGTAATTTCAAATTAATATCATCTGAAAGAAGAAGAAATCGTGGAGAAAGAATTTTAATAAGCAGCAGAAGAAAAATGTTTTCGATCAGATTTCTTACACTTGCTTCATGTTCCGAAGAATGTTTTATGCTATTAATGACAAAGATAGGACTTTGGGACATCGACAATTAATTTAGTTAATGCCCATAGCTTCTTTTTACCATTTCTAGTCTATCCTTAACGTCTTAAAGAATTTAATTTATTTATTGAAAAGTGGTAAATGCATTCATTGACTGCAATTACCACAACTGACCATCATTTAAATATTCAGTAAGAAATTCAATTTCTTTTCCAGTTCCCACATAATTGTCCGATGAACACATTTAACTTCTTCCCCGAAATAATTTTGTTAATGATGTTCAAGTGAGAGTTGTATTGGATGTTACGGTAAACATGCTACAAGACTTTAAATTACTAGTTCGACAGAAGAATTAAGAACTTGCTCAACAAGTGCATAAGTAAAAGGGTGAATTTGATTAAAATTAATTAGTGAATTCCGACATCCTGTTTTTTTTTCTATTGTCATGGTAGACAGAACACGGCTCAAAGGAAGAAGTGAAAGTGCATCTCATAAATTAATATTTCAAACCGTCACAAAATTTGTCATAAACAAGGAAAAACGAATCTAATCTAAATGAAAAAAAATTTATGTTCATTTTCCCATGAATTGAAATTGCTTATTAATGAAACCTGGCCAGATTTACATAATAAAAGGTAGAATACGAGTGAACTTTAGCGATTTATAATGATGATAATCAGCTACTGCAATGCAATCTCACCTTTTGACTCCAAACGCTGAATGTGGATTTGATTGATCAATGCACGATTGTAAAATCTGTGAGCATAAATCAAATGGCGAACAATAAATTGCTTTTCAACAACAAACTTTACTTCGAAATATCCAAGCTCAATGTTCAAAGAATATTTGCATATTTTGATAAGGCAATCAGCTAATAAAATGTTGACAAAGTTTGGTATCTTCGCACGATGACTAAGTCCTTTATAGCCATTGTAAAGACCGTTCATGTAAACGGCATCGGAAAGAACAGTAAATCCCAAATGACCATTTCCAAGAGTCGGCAAATTCTTTGTGAAATTCGGACCACTAAAAAATTATAATAAATTAATTTTAGCAGATATAAGATATCGTAAAGTTTTTAACTTTTCAATTAATTAGCACCTAATTGTTGTAAACATAAAATGATCATGGGTTGCGCTGTTTCTGATGATATCATAACCAGAGCGATCCACAACTAATGGTTGATTGTTTTTATTTGAATTATCTAGGCAATTACTGACTGTTGCGCATGAAACAGCGCTAATTAGGAAAAACAATTCTATGTGAATCATTTAAGCGAATGGGATTGCAAAACAAATTATATGAAATCTGAATGTCAGCACTTTTATTTCTTTTTTAACGAGTTGCTTAAAACTTTTAATATTTTGATGATTTTCAATCTGATTCATCACTGTAACCTGATGCAGTTGAACTGAAATTCTGATTTATTTGCAACCTCAAAACAACTTTCAGGGAATTAAAATGAGCACAGAGTTCTTTCACAAGCGCTCTCATTATTCTTATTTAAATTCCAAATTTTTATTCTTTCTTCTCAATAAGAATTAAAAGAATTGTCTTATCAATTTCTTTCTCTTATTTCAAGTTCAAATTCATTTCTTAAATGAACTCAAATGTCTTTCACTCTTTCCGGTTGATGATCATCAAAACATAGTCGAAAAGTTCAATGAACAGATTAACATTTTATTGCAACTCCACAGCGTAACAAACAGAAATTATCAGTAATCAAAAATTATGATTTGGTTGAGCATTCAACGAGGATAGATTCGTATGTAAGTGCGAAAGTTTTTCTGATGATGATTAGAATTTTAAATTTTTATGTTGCCTAATTGTTTTTAATAATATATGTATGTCTGTTTATGATTGCGGCAATGTAGAAATCCACTCAAAATAGATGAAATAAATGAACGACTAAGTAAATAATGCGAGTTCGTAAGCTGCAATAATCTTTTTTATTCAATCTTAATTTTTTTTACTTTTACAGAAAGAGAAAAACAATTCTTCTAAACGATCGTAAACTTGTCCATCTGGTATAAGAATAAGAATAAAAAATAAAAAAAGAAACAAGAGAGAAAGGTGGAAAAAGTCCATCAAAGACACTTGGGAAAATCACTGATGTGAGACTGAGTTCAGAATATAATTTCATGAATTCCTGCGTGTCTCAATGAAGCCCTCAGAAGATTTCTTCCTTTCATTCTCCCCTTTTGTGATTCGCCTCGAGAAGCTCAAATTTAGTGCTAAAGAAATTATTGTTATTATTTTGTTGCTTGCGTTGATCGCGTTGATGAATACATTTCTAGATAGTTTTTCTTTTAAATTACAGTCGCACAGTAAATAAGTGACACAAGTGACACAACATTCATTTTATTCCAAGGAGCAATCAGCGAACTGAAGTCAGATCCAATATAATAAAAATGACAATTAAGTCAAATCTCTGATTCGTTCTATGAAAATGATATTTTTAATAGCGGTGAGTGTTCTTCTATTGTGTCATCGTAATTTTAATGCTTTAAGACGTTTCACATCAATGTCATCACAGGCAATGAAATCTTTAAAATTCAAACTAATGTTCTCATTCCATGAGACCTCAACAGATTAATTAATTAGATTTTCTTTTATCTTCTTTCTTTTCCTTGCTTTCAGTAAGAGAACTCACATTGAGTTTCTTTCAATTATTTCAAGCGACATGCGAATCCCAGTTTTATTGTTATTTAATTAATCGCTAGAATAATTAAGAGAAACACTTTTGCAATGCACTTTATTGTCTGCTTTACTCACTTTTCTATAAGTCCACAAAACACAAACAACAAGATTTAATAGTTTACAAGTTTTTCTTCTAATTTTTATCACATCTCGCGCAATGAAGTCTCAGAATGTTTATTTTCAAGTTTCTTTTAAGCATCCGGCGTTTTAGTTATTTATTTATTCTTGCTACAGGTAATGTTGTTAGTTGTTGCGTGGTCAAGAGAACGTCTTGAGTCTTAAAAATCGGAAGCAAGGCACATTAAAAGCGAATAAAGAAATGAAGTATTACAAACGTTTCTTCTTCTTCAAAACCAAACTAATTGGCATGCTTTCTCAAAGCTTTGGCGTCGTCAGTTAATATGTTAATTTCCTTAAGAATTCTTCATACCTATTAAGATGGTAAGCTTAAAGTCTTTCATAATCAATTTACCTGATTAATTACCTATCGCGACTCATTGCGACAGTTATTCTCACTTTAATTCACGTTCAAGTAATGACATTCGATTCTCACTGACGTGATTTAATTGACTAAGTCACCTTCCTTCCGATTACGGTGTTTAGACTTATTTTCGTCTTTCTCTTAATGTTGCTTATTAATCTTGACGTATCTCAACTTACTCGATCTTACTATAAAGAGATGATGGGATAAATACCTGGAAAACATTGTAGAATGAAAACAAATGAGTTCCTGAAGACTTTCATAATGAAATGGACAGAAAAAACAACTTTATTAACTTATCTATTAATTTTCTTTCTATAAAAAAGTTCCATTTATGCAATGAGAACAAATTTATTAGTCACGCATCTCATGCAAAAAGAAATCTTCACATACATATGCATGAATTATATTTTAATGCATTTATGACTTTATTGTCTCATTGTTAATATGTAAAGAATTTTACCTTAATTTATTATTCTCAGTTGATAAGAACATTGTTGTATTCATACATTGTTTTGAAATCAAAGAAGTCTTAATTTGGGATAGTCAACATTTTAAGTCATCTGATGCCACGATGTTAATAAAGAAATATGAAAATCCTAGCAAATTCAAGTATTCTTTGGTTCTTAGTTATCATGCATGACTGAACAATCCAATGCTGAAAGAAAAATCTCTTCTGAAGCTATGAATTATATAATCATTAAGATTATCGAACAATATGCAAATTGAATTGTAAAAATAAAATTTATTAAATTTCCATCGTTTTGTTATGTTAAGAGAAGAAAATCTTTATTGAAATGTTTATGTTGACAAAATTTGAACTTTTTATGTGGTCTCGAATTTGGTTGTTTCTGTACCTTGAACGCCAAGTCCAGTAACCTTGAACATGTATCCAGATGGATAAGTTTGAGGTCCAGTGACGTCCAATCCAGCTGTTGTGACAAACATGGTGTCGTAGTTCTTGCCACCAAATGTCATTGATGTAACTTGGGGAACTGGAAGTTTGATTTCAGTTGTCACCTTTCCAGTTGTCGTGTTGATCTTCAAAATGCGACCGCCGCCAAACATTGCAACATAAAGATTTCCATCAGTATCAATCGTTAAACCATCAGGGACGTTTGTCTTGGTAGTTCCATAGCTTGTGATGTCGGTCAATATTTTTTCGTTTGTAATGTTTCCGGTCTTTCCATCATAGAAGAATTGTTTGATGTTCAAGTCATAAGAATCAACAAAGTACATGGTGTTTGTTTGATCGTTGAAAGCGATACCGTTGGAAAGGCCAACCTTGGTTTTCAATTCAGTCAAACCTTCGGTCATTGTAAAACGGTACAACGATCCAACACGCTAAATCAAAATTAATTAAATTTATATCAGAACAAAAACAAAGAATTCTTTAACATACTTTGGTAGTGTCGAAAATGTTTCCAGTTTCTTCTGAAATCATTGTTCCAACATAGAGACGACCTTGAGTGTCAGTCTTAGCATCATTGAAGCGAACTCCAGTGGTTGTAAGTTCAGCAAGGATACGAATGATTTGAGCCGTGGTGTGAACTCCATCCCAATTGATAAGAAGTAAACGTTTTCCAGCGCCAATGATGAACTGAGTTGTAGTTCCTTCAACGGGAATGATGAATGAGATGTAAGTCTCTCCAAGGATTCTTGCAGTGTAGAGCTTGGTAGTGGTTGTATCCATGCGGAATATTTGTCCACCAACAATGTCGGTCCAGTAGAGACTGTAAGTTTCACCATCGTAGTACGGAGCTTCACCAGTGAAGTTCATCGTAGTTCCGGTAAGTTGTTCAACTTTGTACGTAGTAGTCATCTTTACTGATTGCAGAGTTTCCTTGGGAAGTCACTATTCGATAGAGCCACAAAAACAAGACTGAAGATGCTGACCGAAAGTTCTATTATTTATACAGAATGTACACGTGATTTGACGAGACGAGTTCATTTCGAAAACATTCGTGAAAGTCAGAGTGATAACAATTTCTTCTTACAAAACTCACATAAGAAAGTTGTAGTCTATATTTGTACGGTAGTTAATTAAAAATTCTCGATTATGCAAAAGACCAGTTGAAAGCGAATATTTGATAAGATAAGTTGCATAATATAATTTCTTTTTGTGTAATTGTGAATCGTTTTATATTTTGCGATGCATTGCATCAGAGTCTGATTGGATTTTAAGTTCCATTTCGTAACGAAAACTCATAATTCATAACGATTACGATAATTTATTTTGTAACCTAATGTAACCTTTAAATCATCTTAAAATTTTACTTTATTTCCTCGTTAATTACTATTCTAATGCAAGTATCTACATCTGATGAATCTAAACGTCTGTCGCTTCTTTTTCTTTAAATCTGAATCATTACTCTAAGTCTGCTTCTCTTTTTATTTCAGTTCAATAAACTTAGAAGAAAAAAACTTCTTGTGACATCTTATCAGTCGCACGTTGAACGTTTCACACTTTTATTCCAAATCTAAATGTTTTTCAGAGAGTTATCGCTTTGTTTGCAAACATTTATTTATTTTTGTTGCTGACCGTTGTTAAAAAATAAACAAGAGATAATAAGAAAGCGGTTTGGAACGTGTGAAGGTTTGATTGAAATTAATTTTATTTATTTAGAATTGTTTTGCAGATTAATTTAAGAAAGAACGCCCTGAAAAATGTTTGAAATTGTGAATAGTTGACAATTTAGTTACACCTCGCAACTAAAATTTCTCCCCTTCCTTTACTTTTTCAAAGACATTTCTTTATTCATTATCAGTCAAGGTTTATGAATTAAATTTATGGCAAAACAAAAAGAAAGATTGCTTGAATCTTGTAATAACTTTTTATAGAACAAGCCGAGAACTTTGCTTATCTTGAATCGAAGCTTTAGTTTGAGAATAAATATTTTATACTCTAATTATGTTTACTTTCAGACTGGAAATGGTTCTGCGTAGAAGGATGCTTGAAGTGATGTTAAAAGCCTTGGGATAATTAATCTTAAAGCAGATGATATTTTCGATCATTATCTGGTTTTAGAATTACTTTACGTCTTCATTAGAGCCGTCAAGATATTTTATTGGCTAAGAAAATCAAGGAGGGATGTGGTTAGGGGTCGTTCAACACGTTTCAATTTTATTATAGAATTTGTTTTCTTATGTAAACAGTTCACTTAAATGTTTCTTTTTATTTATTTTTGCTTCGATAAATTATTTTTTAACCTTGAAACTACGCTACTGATGAATCACGTCATTCCTTTGGTTACATCATGGCTTTAAAAAATCATGCAAATAAAACTAATTTATTACACCAATTATCCAACTAAAAGCTACCAATAAAAATGTCGAGCAATGAAACATTTGCGAGTTTAGCTTTTTCATTTATTAATTACAAATCAGCTACACTTTACTGACTTAAGTTAAGTGTAGTTAAGAAAGTGATATAAGAAGAACTTCAATGATATTAAAATTTATGGCAAACATTTATATTTCAATCTGAAATATTTGCAACTTGTTTCAGAATTTCCATGTTTGGATAAAGTGATCAAAAAGAAAATTGTTTTTAAAGCACTGTTATGTTTATTGATGATATATTGAGACAAATTGAATTGAAATATTAACATGTTTAATAAAGTTTGAGTGAAACTTGTCAGAAATGTGATGAAGATCAACATAAACTTCGACTTACTTGCATCGGAAACTTAATTAACATAAGCTAAAGAAGTTTTCAATACATCTTAAAACTTATTAACGATCCACAATATAATCAGGTATCAGAGAATAAATTAATTCAAGTTCGTGCATTTCATCCGATGAGCACGTAAAATGACATGACGATGAATGAGAATCATCCGCTGCAATTTGCATGAATCATTTTTAAACCAACTCATTTATAATGATGAATCAATCAGCTTCACTTTTATCACTATAAATTAGAAGACAATCAAAATGTTGTTATTTTTTACGCCTTCAGCTTCTTGAGATTCCAAATACTTATTAAATTTAAATATCTTAACTCATCTTATAAATTGCGAATGGTTTTTATTTCACTGTTAAGGATCATATCAATTTTTTATTAACTGTAGATATGAATGTAAATGTCATAAAGTAACGACTTAAACAGAAAATTATGAAAACAAATCTGTGTAAACTCATCGTAGTCAATACACCAGAGAATCGAACAAAAAAATTGTTTATATGATTCCAATAACATTAATTCATTGCTATTCTAGTTCAACGTATAATTTTTTCCTCGAATCACAGATCTGTATACCAATTTAGAAGCTTTAAAAAGAAAATTCATACAGTGATAATTGGTAGATATAAAATGTCTGATGCTAATCGGAATGAAACAATCATAATGAAAAAATTAGACTATTTAACTTTTTAATGATTTGCTGATATCATCTTTTGTGCACATTTTATTGCCTAGTAAAACAAGAACAGAAACACTGGGTAGGTTTATATACAAATACATATTTATCGTGTTCATGTAAATAATTCCATAATTCATGATTTCTCTCGCTTTATTTATACAGTTTCATGAGGATTGCAGTCACTGGATGCCTGCTCACGATCAAAAACCCATAAATGCAACATTTATTTATATTAAAAGATAGAAAAACTAATTTGAGTTTCATCTAGATGTTACTAAGTTGCGTCGTTGTGTAAAATCTCTCTTTACTTAAGATTACTTTTTAATTACGTTTCTTATTATTTGAGGCAATCTTATAATGCGAGGCGTCTTTTAAATCGCAACAGACCAATCTTTTATTACTTATCTGAATGATCAACTTTCCTTTGATACAAAAATGGTTCGTGCTTTAACTGCTAACGTAAAATTGTTTTCAAATGACCTCCCACAGTTAATGATTTATAAAATATCTCAAAGTCAATAGTCAATTAATAAAGGAACTTTCGCACGAAATCATTGGTAAACCTTGAGCGATGCAATTTCTAATTAAGTTGTTATTACTGTTAATACTTTACCTCAAATTTGCTTTTAAGCGTTTAACGAAAAGTAATTGATTTTGCACGAAAAATGTTTGCCTAAATAAATAATTAATAAACCTTACTTTTTATAACTTCAGTTCAATTTACAACTTCGGAAAGTTTCATGGTAAAATGATGTAATTGGCAAGCACCTGAATTATTTCGAGAACCTTTTTACGACGGTTTTGTATTCTACCATCATTTTTCGAGCCGAAAATACAAAAATATATTCATGAGAATGTGTGCTTGCCGCGCTTATAAAAAGTGTAATCATTCTGGTTGTGATCCCTCAAGCGTATCGGAAGAGAGCAACGTTTCCGTTCAAACACCCAATTCAAGGTTTTTCTGTACTGTGAAATTCATCATAAAGCTACGAAAAAAAAGAACAACATTGCTGAAAATTTCCATTACGAATTACTTAAAAGTAAGTTTATCATGAGACATAAATGGAATAAATTTGAGTCTCGTCGACAGACATTTTGATATTTTGAATTAACTGTTATTAAATTGACGTTTTTTATATTTCTCCGCTTAATTACAAGATGCAAGTCAATCCCAGAGCAGAATCGAAATCTTACAATTAAAATATCACCATTATATTTAAAACCTGTATGTACTTCCTGAGAATCCCTCATGTTATTTCATGTTGTAGGCTTTTTTCCAGCAGTTCCATCTACGGTGATACCATTAAACAATTCTTTAAAATCGCTTGAAGAAGCATGACGATGCTGACGACCGTGCAGATTTTTCTAATCTCGTTTCCATGATGCGCATTCTAAATTTACCTTGCGCCGTCATAATTACATAATGCGACTACCGTACTTCGATCGCTCGGTGTCGAAACGTGATTTGTGACTGCCAACGATTTCTGTTACTAATGCTATCCGCTGATCTTCTTCTACTCTCATGTCCAATAAATTATTTCAATTAGAAAAATCGAGATTGAAAGGAAACAGCTTAACCCAAAGCTCACCCAATCTTATATTCTCTTTCCCAATGTAAATGTCTGTACATAAATACAATTCAACTCGCGTCAAGCTACATACACATTTTGTTATCAAGAAGTAATTTTCATCAAACAGTTTATTATGGTTCGAATAAACTGTGCTTGCTGTGGAAAAAAGTATGCGCAATGGAACAAGATCACTTTTCCTTCATTTCTTTCTGTTACAGATTCGTGCCATCCATAAACCTGTTCGACAACCCGCGCTCCTCTCGTGCAAGAAAAAGTCTTTGCTTTTACACAATTGGTTATAAAGAGACGCATTTGCGATGTTTTTGCCACTTTTTATTGCTTGTTACCCGCGTTGATGCGCGAACGACTTGCTGAGATTACAAGCAAAGCGATGTGCACTTTACATGCACTTTTCCAGTTCCACACAATTTTTTTCTCGTTCTGTTCCAAAGCGTCGTAATATTGATTTTCTTTTACTTCATTCGACTCTATGAATATTGTTATTGACTGTGAATGAAGTGAATAAAGTGTCCGAGAATCTCATTAACCATATGAAGTCAGTCGACAATCACAACAGTGATCAGTAAGCAATTAAGGAAATTCAATCATATCACGTCAACTTGCAAATTTATTGCTTTACGAAGCTGTGAAATGTTATGCTCGCTGCCTTATTGAATAAATTTTATAATTTTTTAATTGCGAATTTATTAAAAGCAGCAAAACAACTTCAGATTTGAATTTGATCATGAAGATAAAAAAGAAATTAACACGAGAATCAATTGAAATTGATTTTTAACGAACTGAATCAGTTAAGAGGGAAACATTCTTGTAAAGATGTTTTGCTTTTCAAATGAAGTGACAACGAAAGGTTTGACGATGATTGCATTGAAATTGAGAAGAGAATTGAAAGAAATTGATCATGAAACGTTAACTTAAGCTTGCAACAATTTCAGTCATTCTCTCCCATCCAACTGATAGATTAGAATTAATAAAAATTAGCATTTTATCTCAAGATAAATCAAACGAAGTGATGTATGCAACAGATGATGATTTTCTATTTGTGGTTGATGATCAAGTTTATCCCATTTGAAACAGCTTATTGAAAGGAGAAGTAAGACAGAAAGGTTACAAACATGATCATCAATTCAATGAATCCAACGCAAAAATAATTTATTATCATGTTTCGAGATCAATTTGTAAATGAAATTAAAGTCCAAATTACTTCAATGAAAAAACAATGAAAGAGAAAATAAAGAAAACAATCATCAGCACGTTTTCTCTTCCTACATTCAGCCGTAAAACTTGCTGTTATTGAGCATAATTTTTAACACCCGAGATGGGAAAGAGAAGAAGAACTTTACTTATGATTTATTGCAGTAGAATGTTAAAATGCATTGCCAGCTTGCACAATTAACCAACTCTACTATATAAACAACGCAAACTTGTCTGTATCAGTGGCAGTATACAGGAAAGGGGAGGTCGGAGATCATAATTGCTTAAGTGAATGTAAATGACAAGACATAAAGTTGCATTACTTTTGCGAGTTTCGCGTTGTTCTAACACATAAAATTTGCAAGATGAATCTATAAAACATCATTTTTACCACCGCACTTCAAAGAAAACAAAAAAGCAGAATATTAAAATCTCCATAAAGTTCACATAAATAAAAATATTTCTTAATGCTTGCGTTCGATATTTTTATGATGCTCATATTCGGTCGTCTATTTAAATTAATTTAAC